TTAATAGGGGCGAACACTTTGATGGCGTTGATGGGCTGGCTTGGCTGGTTGGGCTGTCTTGGCTGTGCTCTAGCAATCATCGATTCTCGATATCCCGCGGGAGTCGTTTCTAATGAAGGACAACAAACGGCCACGAGGAGGTGGGCGTACAGCAGGTCGGGCAGGTCGGGCCGGTCGGGCCGGTCTCTGCTCATTTGCTGAAATTTTGACGCTTTATGAGGTCCCTTTAGTGCTGAGTGTGCGCAAAAATGTAATTGAATGAAGCGAGCAGCAGGGGTCAGCGGCGGAGCGGGGTCGGCGGCCAGAGAAGCCGAACTGGTCTAAGGTCAATGCGAGGCCGTGACTTCTTCAAGCAGTCCCATAAAATGTTTGTCTTCCATTAGTCGAACACATGATGACGCATGAAACGGACAACCACGACGATGATGATGACGATGACGATGATGATGATGTTGCAGCTGCTGCTTCATAAAGAAAACACATGACAGAGTTATGAGCAGCTCGATTTTGGCTTTAAAATATATCTGCTGTTCGCAATTCGCGTGACTCGCTGCTCCTGTCATGACTTCAGTCACGAATGCAAATGAACATGGAACGAGGAACGAGGAGCGAGGAGCGAGGAGCGAGGAGCGACTCGACTCGACCACAAACTCAAAGCAAACAGAAATTTATATTGAAGCTCATGTTACGGGCATCAAACGTTTCGCTTAGCCCGTTCAATAAATCGACGGCCAGTCGACCAGGCGACTGCCGAGCTTCATTTGCCTTAGCCAAATTATCATGACAACTTACTTTGCCCAAGCCCAAGGTTTAGTGATGGCAGTGGACTGGGAGGCATGCAACACACGCCCTCGCGCCCTCACGCTGAGCTCCTCTCAAAGACTTTCAAGTTGTGTCGCCTTTGCAAAGTTTGCACTTTGAAGTTTGCACTTTGTCGCTGCAAATGCTAATTAGTTTTTACGCTGCGTGGGCGGCAGCTGCAGCTAGTCGCCTCTCACCTGTCACGTACAGTTCACGCGCTGACACCTGAGCGCGAGCAGAGCTTGTATAATTAAAGACATTCTAAGTGCTTAAGATATTTTGTAGCCAAGTTTTCTAACAGATACAGCACTCATGGAAGCCTCTCTCCATGTCCTTCAAGACTGAAAACCTTTTCATATGTGAATTGCCTTTCTTTGATTTTTCATTACTTCTCCCAAGTTCACATGTTAATTTCCTTAAATTTCTGGCAAAGTCTTAAAGATTCAATGGAATTTTTGTATGTTTCAATTTCGTTTCTCAAAGACCCAACTGAAAGCGCTTTAAAACTATTTCTTTCGTGACATTTGCTTGCCTTTCAGATGGCTTTTCCTGCTGTTATCATTGCATTTTATTTGCTGCTGCTGCTGACATTAGCTTTTGCAGACCTTTTACAGCTGGCGAGGACCTTTCCTTTCACAAGCAGGCACAAATTTCCGCATCTTACGAGCTGCCAATAAAAATGGGAATTCGATTTGAGGCTGGTCGTACGACCCAGCCAGGCCAGGCGAGGCCCGACCCGGCCCGGCCCAGCCCGGCGCGGCACTTGGACCTCGGCAAAAGGTCGTCCCATTAACTGTAACTGCACTGTAATTTACATAATTTTCTATTCATTGCATAATTCTGTCAATTTCCAATACATTATAATTTGTTAGGAGAACGCAACGCTGCGAGCAACCCTCGTAACTAGAAATTATGCAAAGCACACGAAGAGAAACAAAAAAAAAGAGAAAGAAATGGGAACAAATTATAGAGAGGGGCTCTTATTCGTAATTTGTTTTCGGCTTAAAAAGATTATTTCATGGTGAAAACAGCCCGCGGCCAGGCACTACAAAATATGTTCCAAAACCAGGCCGGGATAGAGCCGGGGAGGGGCAGATGCGACCTGTTAGATAGAGCAAAAGATGCCTCAGCAATTCGATATGCTCCAATCACGTAGCCATTATAAATGCAAATCAAGTGTCAATAGTCAGGCAAACATCGCTTTTCGCACACGGATTTTCATTTGGAAAACTCGCAAATTCGAATCTGACAAAAAATGCTGTTTGCCAAATGGAAAATGCAAAATGGCAAATGGCAAATGGCAAATGGCGAAGTCCGCAGCGCAAATCAGCAAAGCAAACAGCCAAAAATCAATTCGAATCCCAAATGTCAATTAACTCGAACTCGAACTCGAACTCGCTTACTTTCTTCCTCTCTCTCTTCTCTCTGTCTAGGCTAGGTTTTCTATATATTAAGTATATATATAGAGATTTATATTTATATATAAAAATAATTTCATTGTTAAGAATTTTTCATATGACTGACTCAACTTTCTAAATTTACTTTTATAATATTCTCTTCATTTCATTCAGCTCCATATCACAAACATTGCCTAGCTGGGAGGAGACCGTCTTAAAGTCAATGAGTCTTCCCAATTAAAACTTGATTCGAGGGAACTTGAAGCTCAAGCAGAACATTTTAAAAACATTTGTTTCTGCTTCCCTCATTAGGCAGCTGCTTATTACCTTCATCGCCTTCACCTGCTTGTCACTTGGCTTTTCTTGGGCAAATCTTTTGCCCGGCAAATCTCGTGATGAAAAGCTGCAGAGTTCATTAAGGCGTGTCGCAGTTTTATCGCCAACTGGGGAGCCCTAAGCCCAACTTCTGTCACACTTTTCTCCGCCACTTATCGCTTTTCATATTCAAATATCCGTTTCTCTCTCTCACTCCCACTCCCACTCTCTCGCCTCCCTCTCTTCGCTCTGTGGTAATTAATCATTCGCGCTGCTGCAGGAAAAAATGTCTCTCGAGATAATGTCAACATAAATTGTTTTGGCAATTTCTAACAATTTTCCTCGCATTATTTATGAACTTTTTCGGCTGTTGCTGCATTTAAAGCTGGCTGAAATTAGCCTTTGTCAGTGGGCGTGGCACACTCGAGGGCAGCAGTTGGCGTTGGCTTCGTTCTCTCTTCATTTGAGGCCTTCAATTTGACGTGTTGACTTTGGCCTTTGGCCAGTTCGCTTGCTGTGCAAACAAGGACATGCGGACGGACGGACACTGAATCCTTGAGCTCGACTAGCCTCAATTCGTAGCAGCCCCGCCCCCTCTACGCCCCCGTTCGGACTGTGAATGCGGCATTTAATGAGCCTGTCAGCAGTCAGTTTATTCAGTCGACTGCACAAGGCTCAGCTGCTTGCATATTCAGCTGAGCTGAGAGGGGGTTGAGTGGGAGTTGTCCTTGCCTTGCGTTGCCAACCCCCTTTGCTTGTCCTGTGGTCAGTTGTAATCACAAAGTTTAATGAATGGATTAGACCAGGGCTAAAGTTGTGGGCGGCTGCGGGTTGCGGCTTATTGTGGGTTTCACATGAGCACACGAAAAGGGTGCGAAAAAGTTATAGAAAATTCTATATTGTATATGATTTTATTGATCTATGTAGAAAGAGAGAGAGAGGGGGAGAAAGCGAGAGAGAGAATGAAAGTGAAAAACAGAAAGCAGAAGTGGAAGACAAGGTAAATGAGAGAGAAAGAAAAAGTGCGGAAGAGAAATCAAGGTAAGGACTAAGGCAGAGAGAGAGAGAGAGAGATAGGGAAATATAGATAAAGAGGGATAACAAGAGTAAGAGAGCGTAAGTAAGAAAGTCCTTCAGAGACAGAACTTAAGTTACGATCAGATTATATCGATCGATAACAGAAGCTTGACTCCTAGTTTTAATAAACTTTTATCAACAGATAATACGATTCAAATTAGAAATATATATTTATATTATGATTCTTTATTCGCGCTTATTTTAAGTTTTTAATTTATGCAGATTCAATTTTAAGACACTTCCGTTTCGGCACGTGAACGGCACAGCAGCCACGCCTCTTGCTGACAGTGGTTGAAATTGAAGGCGTTTCATAGTTGAAAATTGAAGAATATTTGCGAGGTTAAGCAAGTGAAGTCACTTAATCTTGATAAAAGATATATATAAAAAGAGATACATATAAATAAATATATAAAAATATATCTACTATACTACAGCGAAAATATTCTAGCTTTATGTATGATTAATGATTCGCATGTCACATGAGAGCATTTGATATGAAGAACTTCATTTGTTAGCGGAAATTACTTTAATGCGTTGACAAGAACTAAAAAAAAAAAGGAATTTATTAGCTTTTGTTCTCATAACAACATTTAACTGCATGTTAAATAGTTAACGCGAACACTGCCACTAATATTAATTAGACAACTGATAGCTGCTGTCGCCGAGTCTACAACTCATTAAGTCACGTAAATGACAGATATTAAACATATAAATACTTCTTATAAAATATTTTATATTTATATTACTATATATTATATGAATATATCACAATAAAAATAGGTATTTGTGCTCAAATAAAGAAATGAATTTAATATATCACAAACAAATTATTTTAAGTTCTTTTATTTAGCCACAATTTTCACCTTAAAACTTAGTATATATTTGTCTTAATATTTTATCTATTTACTTTTGTTAACATTTCCATAACAGTGGTTTGTGTCTCTGCTAGACCAGTTCGTGTAGCCAGTGACAGCTAAATACAGTATATGTTAGAGCAGTACGAGCCGATACATACATTTACCAACACCCTTACGTTAGAGAAAGACAACTAGTGTATACTACATGCTAAAAGGGGAAATCCGCCTTATATACACACTCATAGCTGATTGGTGGCAGCGAATTGCTTATATACAAGAGTAGAAGCGAGCCCCAACAGGCGCACAAACACACATACATACACCTCCTCTCCATTTGGTCTGGATGCGCGTTTCATTTGAAAGAAATCCATCATCGTCAGCGGACGCTAGTTCGAGTAGCAAACGCTTTGCAGATGGCGGCGACTCGATAAGGCACAGGACACAAAAAGCGATAAAGGACTATCCAACTAGAACCAAAGCACCTGACAGCTAGTTGAATTACAGTTATATAACAAATAAAAGCAAACAAAAACAAAGAAAACGCTTTAAAAGCAACCCTTGCTGAAAAGGCGGCCTGTGGAGGGTTGCGAGATATTTCATAAATTATTTATGAACTCTGATGGAACGCGTCGGCGGGGTGTGAATAATGCGTATTGCCAATTATTGGAATATCATTTGAGGGGTTTGCTATATGTGACGCATAGACGAAGCTACGAGATGCGAGGCTTAAGTCTGAGAGAACTAGTGGGCGCAGCTGACTTGACCTAGAGCTCCTGCAGAAAGAGAAAGATTAAAGTTCGTCTCACTTAGTCATCCGTTGTCGGGAAAGCAATATGGTTTCAATTGGTTGACTTCGGTATATTTCGAATGGTTTCTACTTAGGTGTCTTTGGTAGAGGAGAGCTGCACCGGCTCGTGGTAGAAGAGATCGGTGCCCACGCTCGACATGCGCGTCGGTGCGTTGCTCCTGCGCACGTCCTGCGCTTTGTTCTCCTCCACATTGTCCACTGAGAGTTCCTGAACAGCCGATTGTCGACGTGAACTTGCACTTGATCTGATATTTTTAGGTATACTCGCTTGGTAGTTGGTCAGATTGGTCTGGCTGGACAGCATGCTTTCGGCCTGTGAGGCCCTGCGCTGGGCGGACAAGTGACGCCAGATGCGGATCGACTCTCTGATGCTATAGTGGCTGCTGTTCTCATAGGCCTTTATTGATGGTCGCGGAGTTGGGCTGCCCAAGCTTCCCTTATCCTCCATGTTGTCCATGCTGATGACAAACCAAACGAAACAAAACAAAACAAAAACGAATCGAAAATTGTGTAATTTATTTTTCTTCTATGTCGACATGATTTCAGAACTGAAACTAAATGTTAATGATCGCAGACGATCACTCACATATTTGATGGCTTAGGCAATGCCAATTGCACTTACTTCGCTGTCCCCAAAATATTCAATTCTTTTGTTTCGTTTCCTACAATATTTAAATTTAATTAGTATTTCGCATCTGCTAAAGGTCAAACCAATGTGTGCACCTGGAATTGAACCACTGGCTTGTGATAGACGAGATCCACGCCTACATTTGGATTAGTCATCCTTATCACAGTCTCGTTCTTACTTGCCACCATGTCGACCCCCTGCAGGACTGCCGAGTTCTTACTCTTTCGTTTCGAATTCCTTGACACCCTGCGGGTATATCCTAAGTGCTCATCGCCGCTAATCCGGACTCCGGCTCGAAGAGCATCGTTCGCCCGCCGACTAATAGCCGCGTTGTGCCACCGGTGGGCACTAGAGCTTGCGACTGTAGACGGATTGCTAGCCATTTGACCGATTCACCAGTTCAGACGAGACTCAATTCCACTTTACATAATTTTCAGTACAATTTAACCAACAACAACATCATTTACATGATCTGAACTGAACGTTTGCCACCGAAAATTTCGAACTTAAGTCTAATGCGAGTGACATTCCAGGCACAGGTCTACACGAAAAGCTAGCTTAGATACATGGAATTTAAATATGTTAATTTGCCTCTGTTCTTTATTTTCTTACTTCTGTGTCTTCTTTGCCTCTTGCCTGCCTCTTGTCTTTCCTCCTTCACCTTGTCTCTCCTAATTCACTTTGTCTTTCCTCCTTCACCCTGCCCTCACCCTGTCTCTTCTCATTCACCCTGTCTGGCTCCTCTTCGATTTACTTTTTTAGCTCTTCTCCTGTGTCTTGCTTCCATCACCTTTTCCTTTACAATCTTCTTCTTCGACTTTGTCCTCCTTCACATCGTTTTCCTCATCCTTTTGCTGCTTCTACACTTCTCCAATTTCTACTCTTCTTTACCCATTTGTCCTCTGGTTTAATCCATCCATTTCCCTGCTGTCGCCGCCTCCTCCTTTACCATAACCAACTTCTCTACCAGTTTTACCATAACCTCACCCATTCGCTTCTGTCTTGTTCCTCTAGTCTACCCTCCTGCTCTTAGCTCCTGTTAGCCCCTCTTCCCCTCTGTTAATCTCTGTTTTTGCTTCCTCTTCCTTTTTTCCACTCTTTCATATTATTCGTAGTCCAGTTTTAAGCACCTTCGATATCAATCTGTTGGCATTGCTCAACACTTTAGATGAACTCATCGAAGTTTAGCAACACTTTTCTCTCTAATCTGTCATAAATTCAACACATATGGAACTATTAAGTCGAGCAGGGATTAGTAACTAAAAGTTATTCAAAGTGTTCAGATGAAATTGTGTTGAAAAAAGTGATCAAGAAACGCATAAAGGAACTTGTCAAAGAAATAGAAAATTGTGCCGTAAAAATACTAATAAAGCGACTCTGGTTAATGGGAGCTTTAGAGTTCAGCTAGGTAAAGTTAAGGAAAGGAAGGAACAAAAATCTGTTGTAAGGCTAAGTCTTGTCGAGATTTCTTAAGGCAATGCGAATGAGGTCTTTATTTATCATGTAGCGTGACACTATACATGAGTTAACAGCAGATCTATCTTCAATCTTCTTCCCACTCCCAATCCCATTCCAATTCCAACTCCTCGCCAGTTTAATCCCATGTCAGGATGCATCTACCTCGAGCTTAACTCCAACTTAACGTGAATCAGAAACTAGAAATGGACTCATTTGCGCAAGTCGAAGCGCTGTTCGGCCTACACAGCGATGAGGTAGGTCCCTCGAAGTTTGAGGACCTGTCTGAGCCGGAGGTCGGCATCATGACCAATGCGGAGATTCGGCTGCTGGACAACTTGGATGACATACCGTTCGAAGCCATTAAGCTGCCCGACGCATGTCCCGCAGCCGAACAGGACGCACAGATCGATGCGCGACTGCAGGAGGAGCTCGACTCGCTGCCCATGGTGGAGCCAGAGCCGGAGCCGGAGCCGGAGCCGCTGCCTGCCGCAGAGCCACAGCCGCGAGCTCAAATGGCGCCCACCATGCTCAGCAGGCCGCAGGTTCAGCTGCAGCAGCAGCAGCTGCACCAGCACCTGCCGCATCAGCAGCAGCTGCAGCTTCAGCAGCAGCAGCAGCAGCAGCAGCAACATCCTCAGCAGGCATCTCGCATATTCTACAAGCCGCGCACTATGCAGGAGGCAGCCAAGTTCTCCATCCAAATGCCACCCGAGGGCGCAGGGGCCAAGGGGCTGCCGAACACGAGCTATGGAATGCAGCTGAAGATGCAATCGCAGCTTCGCATTGCAACTGGGGCGCCAGGCCAACAGCCGTACAAGATGGTGGTGGCCAATCCGCAGGATCGCATGAAGAACGGCCAGGGCCGAATCTTTGTGCAGAACTCGAGCTCGACGTCGTTTCCCAAGACCCTCACTGACTTCATCAGGGCGAAGGGCATTGCCTCTAGCCAGAGCCAGATGCGTGGCCTGCTGCCCAATCAGATGATGAAGCCACTGACTACGATGAAGCTGCCCCTGAAGCCCGATCTGAACAGTGCGCTGCGCGTGCAGCCGCAGCGACGCGAGCTGCCGCCGATGCAGGCGCCACTCGAGGACGATGAGGTGGACTTCGAGGAGATCGGCGTGGCGGATACCTACTCCTCGTACTGGCCCAGCAAGCTGAAGGGCGGCTCACGGCATCCCGACCCTGTGGTAGAGACGGCAACGCTGTCCTCCGTCGAGCTGCCGGACATTACGTACGAGCTGGCGCTGCCGGAGAAGTTGAAGAACTCGGACAGGCTGAGTGCGCTGCAGCTGGAGGCGGTGACCTATGCGTGTCAGGCACACGAGCAGCTGCTGCCCAGCGGCCAGCGTGCGGGCTTCCTGCTGGGCGATGGCGCTGGCGTGGGCAAGGGACGCACCGTGGCGGCCATCATCTTCGAGAACTATTTGCGTGGACGCAAGCGTGCGCTCTGGATATCCGTGTCGAATGACCTGAAGTTCGACGCGGAGCGCGATCTGCTGGACATTGGGGCCAGCAAGCACCTCAAGGTGGCCTCGATGAGCAAGTTCAAGTACAGCCGCATCAGCTCCGAGGAGAACGAATACTTCAAGCGCGGCGTCATCTTCTGCACCTACACAGCGCTCATCGGGGAGTCGGCGAACGCCAGTCCCAAGTACAACACGCGGCTGCGTCAGCTGATCAACTGGCTGGGCACGGATTTTGACGGCGTCATTGTGCTGGACGAGTGCCACAAGGCGAAGAATCTGAGTCTGATGAACGCTGGCAAATCCACCAAGACGGGCACCACTGTGCTCGAGCTGCAGCAGCTGCTGCCCATGGCTCGGGTGGTGTACGCCTCGGCGACGGGCGCCTCGGAGCCGCGCAACATGGCGTACATGGTGCGGCTAGGACTCTGGGGTCCGGGCACCTCCTATTCGGAGTTCTTCAAGTTTGTGAACACCGTGGAGAAGCGTGGCATTGGCGCCATGGAGATCGTGGCCATGGACATGAAGCTAAGGGGCTCGTACATCGCGCGTCAGCTCAGCTTCAAGGACGTCAGCTTTCGCATTGAGGAGGTGCCCATGTCGCGGGACTTCCACAAGCTCTACAATCACTCGGCCGAGCTGTGGGCCGAGATCAATGAGAAGTTCCTCAAGGCCTGCCGGCTCATGTGCATCGAGAATCGAGTCCAGAAGATAATTACCTGCCAGTTCTGGTCAGCTCATCAGCGGTTCTTCAAGAATCTGTGCATCGCCTCGAAGGTTAACCACGTCGTCAAGATGGTGCGCGACGCGGCTCGCCAGGGCAAGGCGGTGGTCATCGGACTGCAATCGACTGGCGAGTCGCGCACCTTGGAGCACTTGGAGCTATACCAGGGTGAGCTGACGAACTTCGTGTCCACCTCGAAGATGATCATACAGTCCTTTGTGGAGAAATACTTTCCTGCGCCCACACGGGAGTCCCTCTACAAGCTGCTCAACACGGGCACCTTTGAGCCGGAGACGCGCGGGAAGAGCAGCAGCGCGAAGCGTGGGCGTATGATCTCCGAGTGGTCGGACGATGACATGGATGAGGACGGTGGCGACAGCGATATAGAGATGTGCGACAACGCCTGGAATGGCGACGACGACGATGAGGATCGCTCAAAGGCGGGCCGCAAGCGTCGCGGTCGTCCGCCAAAGCCGGACAAAGGTAAGCGGCAAGACAAGCCCGACTCGAATCTCTTAACTCATGCGGCTTAACTCTTCTCTCACAGTAGAGAAGATCACCATGCAGGAGCGCATCCTGCAGCACCTGTGCAACAACATGAATGCCAAGCACGAGGAGGACGATCCTAACTTTGATGCCGCCAAGCCGCAGACGGCGAAGATCACGGAGCGGGACGTCGAGCGCTGCATCACGGTGCGCGAGAAGCTGCTCGACAAGATTGAGCACTTGGGCAGACGCATGCCGCCCAACACATTGGACAAGATCATCTCCAAGCTGGGCACCAAGGTCGTGGCCGAGATGACGGGCAGGCGCGGACGTGTCATCAAAATCGACGACAACACCTATCGCTACGAGCAGCGCGGCGAGGCGGAGACGACCATGGATCTGGTGAACTACATGGAGAAGCAGCGCTTCATGGAGGACAGCAAGCACGTGGCCATCATTTCCGAGGCGGCCTCCAGCGGCATTTCGCTGCAGAGCGATCGGCGGCTGGCTATTCAGCGACGCCGGCTGCACATCACCTTGGAGCTGCCCTGGAGCGCGGATCGAGCCATACAGCAGTTCGGGCGCACGCATCGCTCCAATCAGGCGAATGCGCCGGAGTATGTCTTCCTGATCTCGGATCTTGGTGGCGAAAGCCGCTTTGCAGCGACTGTGGCCAAGCGACTGGAGAGCCTTGGCGCTCTCACGCAGGGCGATCGGCGAGCCACCGATGCGCGGGATCTCTCCAAGTTCAACATCGACAACAACATCGGACGCAGCGCCTTGGAGAGCGTCCTACAGCAAATCACAGGCGAGAAGCCACTCGAGACGGTTCACATACCGGAATCCTATAAAGGCGACTTCAGCTTCGACTGCTGCGTCGCGCTCTCCGGCGTGGGCATGCTGAGTGTGTCCGAGGACAGCAAGGGCCACCAGATCTTCGTCATCGAGAAGGACAGCAACAACATACCCAAGTTCCTCAATCGCATACTCGGCTGCCGCGTCGAGGTGCAGAATGCCCTGTTCAAGTTCTTCCTCAACAAGATGTATTCGCTGATCCTGCAGATGAAACGTTCCGGGCACTTTGATCTCGGCATCCTGGACCTGGATGCGCACGGTGCCAATGTGACGGCCATCAAGCTGATACGCTTCATTAGAAAACATGCCACGGGCACGGCGGCCACGGAGCTGCACACCATGCAAGTGGTGCGCGGCATGTCCTTCGAGCTGGCGCTGGCCAAGTAAGTGAACCGAGGCTGCCATTGTGGCCCGATTGTCAAGCAGCTCAACAAGCTCCCGCCCTGCTCAGCTACCTTCTGCATGCTCCCTCCTTAGCCTACCTCTTTTATCATGCCTTTATCCCCAGGTTCAAGAAGGAGGCCCGCCAGGAGCACGAGGGCTTCTACACGTTCAAGCAGGAGCGCAACAATAACAATTGCGCCATCCTCTGCCTGAATGCCCAGCCGGACCAGGCGCCGAGCACTGATCACAGCAAGCTGAACATGAAGATCTATCGCCCCAATACGGGGCCACAGGTTCGCACCGAAACGCTCAGCTCGATTGGCAATCGCTACGTGAAGGCCTCGCCCGAGGCAGTGCAGCAATTCTGGGACATGCAGTACAATCAGTGCCTGCGCATGTGCTCCCACATCTACTGGAACCGTCGCTGCCCCTTTGGCATCAAGTGTGGCGTGGGCCTCAGAGTGCGCACCTACCACGTGCTGTCCGGCCTGATGCTGCCCATCTGGGATCGCATAGCGCTGATCATCGAGAAGGATGGCCGCAAGATTCAAATGATACGCGTGAAGACCGATGAGAACAAGAAGATCGTTGGCACTGTGGTGCCCGAGGGCGTTTATCACCAGCTGGTGGCCGACCTGTCCTCCGACTCCCTAGTCGAGAGCAAGGACTTCAGTGTCAAGGAATAATATTTGATTTCTTTCTGCAGTTTCTTGTATACAACAACTGGAGATAACAATAAATATATAAAACTCTTAAATCGGACTACAGTCGAGATAAGGCCTCAGAGGAAGGGTATCCTTTGAGTTTACTTCAAATGTCATACACAAGTTCAGCTCGATAAGTATAAAACTTAAACTCTAAATCAAATTTAGGCTCTTTAATACTTTTATTTTTTGCTTTTCATATAGTTTTTTTTTTGTAATTTTCTTTTTGTATTTGCATTCAAAGTTGGAAAAACACAGGATATAATGAAACTTATAAGTAGATTTAAATTTAATTAGCATTTGCCAAATAAGAAGTACATCCTAAACGTAGTTTAACTAGTTGCGCCGTGCTGCGTTCAACTTTAGATACAAATTCTCTGTTCCCATCTCTTGCTTTGTTTAGATATATGTTCGTAAACTTTAGAATTTATCCTATTAATATAATAGACATAAAACTGATTAAAAAGAGCTTTAGGTGGGCAAAAAGTGTTTGCCTTGCCTCGCCCCGCCTCGTGTCGCGAGACGCTTATATAAATTGCATTGCGTATAAAAATAGAAACTCTAATTCTCAACTGGTTCTGGCGCCCCAATAGGTTGGCTTGGCTTTAGCTTCTGTTCTGCTATATTGCCCTTTGCTCTCCTCCTCCCACGTCCTTGAACGTTCCGCTGTCTTCGTGAGCCCATTCGTTACGTTGGCTCTCCTCCTAGGCACTTGACGTGTTTTACAAACAGAAAAGTTGACCAAAAATAATCGCAATTAAATGTTTTTCCTTTAAAATGGTATTTCCATTAACTGGAGTTTGTGTCATGCCTTATAAATGTTAATGTGATATGTGGGCGGGTTCCATACGCCCAACAATATCATTCTAAGTACTGTTACGAATATATCTTTCCTCTTGCCATGCTCTGTCATGGACTCTGGATCTGTTGATCTTCTGATCTCTGCATGAATCTCATCTGTTGAAACTGCTTTCTCTCGTTCTTCCTTTCTTCTGTTCTTCCTTCCTTCTATTCCTTCATATCATATCATATCATATCATATCATATCATATATCATATCATATCATATCTCATCTCATCTCATCTCTTCCTTCCTTTCCTCCATCTCTTCATTCTCTTCCTTCTCTTTCATCTCTAATTTCTCTTCCTTTTCCTCCTCCAACTCTCTACTTGCTAAACTTGAGCTTAAACTTGTTTTCGCACTTAATTTTAAAGGCTTTCTCGTAAAAAAAATCTATAAATGTTTGCAAGAACCGCAATTGAACTCTTAAGATAAATATACGAAACGATCCATGAAATCAAAATCTATGTAGGGTATATCTTAAGCATAACTCGCGTTGTTTTCCACTTCAATTAAACATTTAAAAAATTAGAAATTAAGTGCCTCCATTTCCATAAAAGACAAACAAACAAACACACACAAGAAAATGTTTATATGGAGTTGCTCTTCGAAGCGCGCATGCAAAACGCGCTCGAGTCGCGCACGAAACGCGCGCAAAACGCGCTGTGGTCGCCTCATGGCGAGGTCGACTGCAAATCGGGATCTGTATACGTATCTATATGTTGCCCGACTGGCACCTAACTGGCTGTTAGATTGCTTAACGATACTCGTCTTAAGTAAATTATTTGTTGCCTACATAAGATCGCGCGCGCGCGCGTTTCGTGAATCGCGCGCGACTTTCGGCGCTCAAATTGGAGGCGGCCCGCGTATGTAGCGCAACTGAGGCGTGAAACTCATGGACAGATTGTTCAGATTATCGCAGCAATTGGGCTGCATCATGCACGCAGCACAGAAGAACGTGAACAGCGCCAGCTGCATGGGCACAGCAGCACGCGCGATGCGCCACGCCCAGCCGCGAGGCTTGGCCTTGGAGACGGCATCGTCTTCATCCTCCGAGCTGTCCAGCATGGTGGCTGGGTCTTCGGGTGGCTCGTCGCCGCCGCCACCAGCGGCGACAATGCGCTGCATTTGCTCCACAACCTGCTGCTCCTGATCCTTGCCAAGAGGAAGCTTTTCCGACTTTTCCTCCGGCTTCTGGGCAGCTTGACGAGACTTACGACAGTTGCGACGTTTGGGCGATTGCGTGACTGACTTGGCCGCCAGCTGCTTGGCATGGCCATTGGCCAGCGGCTGCTTCTGCTCCTCCTTGTGCTCCTTCTGCTCCCTTAGCTTCTCCTGCTGCTTCTGCTGATGCGAGGCAGCTGTGCGCACAATCAGGTCCCTGCACGTATTCTGCAGTTGCTTCAGCTCCGCCTCGGCGCTCTCCATGCGCTCTGCAATCGAACGCATTGCGGCGCTGCCTGGCGCTAGAGCCAACTCTAGCTGCTTGGCCAGACGACGCAGCACACCCAGACGTCGCTCACGCTCGGACAAGCCGCCATCGGAGGTGGCACCACCGTCCGAGATGCCCGAATCGGACAACGAGCCATTGGACGCAGTGAACTTGGCAATGTGATAGATGTGATTGGGATCCAGGTGCTGTTGCACGGCGAGCAGTTGCTCCTGGCTAACGTTGACCTTCTCTGAGAGCAACTTGGCCACCAGCTTGACATTCTGTGCCAGCTCCACAGGCGTGGCCTGTCCCTTATCCAGAGCACCCTCCAATCCCTTGAGTGTGCCGCGATCCTGGCCCAACGCCAGCTGGAACTCGCTCAAGCCACACTCGAGCTGACGCCAGGCAATCAGCGAATTCGTGAGCATCTCCAGCTGCGAGTTGATTCTGGAAAAGGGAGTGGGGATTAGTTAATGATCTAAGTCGGTCTCTATAAGGAGCACTCACCTGGCATCTGCCTCATCCCAGGCGCTGTACATATCGCTGACCTCATCCTTGAGATACTTGTGGAACTCCTGCTCTGCGCTGATCAGACTGGACACATCACAGGTGCCAGTCGAGGCTTCCATCACCTGGTTGCCATTGCTGTCTGTGACAGTGATGGCCACTCCTGCAGCAGGCTCCAGCTCCAGCTGCTGCTGCTCCAGTTGCTGCTGCTGCAGCTTCTTCTCCTTCTGTTGTAGTTGTTCGGACTCCTGTTGGAGCTGCTCCTGCTGCAGACGCCGCTCCTGGCGTGTCAGCCAGCTATGCACGGAGGCATTCAGGCGCAGCATGTTGGTGCGGCAGCTGCTCAGCTGCGTCTGCTCGTGCTGTGAATGAAACGAATCGCAGTTGCTCAATATCCATGCTCAGCTCAGATCTGAGTAAGCTCACCTTCAAGGCCTCTATGGCCACCTGTATGGCCGGCTCTGTGTCGAGCAGCTGCGGTGTGGACGGATCGCCCAGGCGGCTCAGCGTGTGCTTCAGCGCGCTCATCTCCTGCTGCAGCTTGCGTGCGCTGGCCGCATTCTCGCTCCAGTTGAGCAAATCCTCCCAGTTGGCCAACAGATCTGCAAGCCAAACAATTTACAGCGAGTTAATGGAGCGCACGATAAGTTGAGCAGAGAAAGTCAAAAACACTTGATAATTGGCGCAATTGGAATTTGGATTTGGATTTGGATTTGGATTTCGTTTGTGGATTTTGCAGCCCTTTGCGACTAAGCCAAAACCTTTCCATTTACCCCACCCACTCTGCCTCGCTCTGTGTGAAAATGCAAAGAGAAACTTTTATTTGTTGAGCAAGCCACACGAAAATGATAAATGCTACAAAACATTAAACATTTGGCACTAAGCGCGCTAGAGCGGAACAGCAAATGGGAATAATCTCTGTATATAACTATTTCTGTGTGTGTGTGTGTGTGTGTAGTGTGTGTGTGTATTGTGTGTATTGCCAAACTGAAAGTGTGTGGGAGAAACCAAACTCTTAGTCTTGCAATTGCAACAACAGGCGACGCCCCATAGAATATAGAAGACTGCATATACCCTGTAGTCAGTATGTAAAACGGGTATATAGGCTTAAGAGTTGTGAGGAGTAGGAGCACAGACATTATGCCACACCTGCCTAGGCTGAGAAGACTTTCACTGACAAAGTTGAGAAATGGAAACTGAAAATTTAAACGATTCGCATAGCTCAGCTAGATTTCAATAAGCAGTCTATATCTGAGTCTGTTTACCTTAACAGAAGTAACTTTTAGAGTTAAGTGATTTCTATCACAATGATTCGTAAAAAGCAGAGCAAACATCGTGAAATTGTCATAGGTATTCGAAGTAACTTCACATGATTCATAGGACACCCAAAAGTGACTTGTACAGGGTATCTGCTAGTCACAACGGCCAACTGTAGACACAATAGAAACTCGTGGGCTGTAAACCTAAACTTGACAATAATATCAAGGTAGACACTGGGCGAACTTGATTTGTCTGAGATCTCATGAGTGCGTGGAAGGGAAATGGTTTTCCAGAACTTACCAAGACTAAAAGATATAGTAGATATAGCTATATCAGATGTATGACTACTAGCAGCAGAGTAGATAAGCTGACCGACCAACTGTTTGCAAGGCTACAGCCCAACTGATCAGCTAATTGAATTGTGCGAACAGATCAGCGAGGCAATTACTTTCACCCGCAGGTGGATGGCATTTAGCCACAGGCTAAGACTAAGGCTAAGGCTTAGCTCGAGGCTGTTTATAATCTTAACACACACTCGATTGTCAGGCGCTTCACGTACGACGCACTGCACTGCACGCACTTTGGAACAGGAGCAGATGCCGCAGCTCACAGACCGAACTTGTTGGCAGCCAAGCTGAAACTGGTTGACTGAACTTGCCGCGCGCAAGCGGCGCTCATGCAGCGAGCCAAGCCCACAGCAGAGCAGCTCGAGCGCAACCAAACGATCGAGCAACAAGCGCACAGTGGGACGAACATGGAGAAAAGTGACAAAGTGTGTTAGAAAATGAGAGAGAAAAGGTGACTGACAATTTGTTTTTTAAAATTATGAATCGATAATAAATCGATTGATCGAATATATCTAATAGCAATCTATAAAAAGGTTTGTTGACAGCTGTCTATAATCGGTATTCGATACGATGCAGCAATTAGGAATAATCGTTTATCGATAACACTGAATGTTTAGTTAGAGCTTAGCCACAACTGCGGATGGCATTTCAACCACTTTAACCCACTGTGCAGCATTTCAATTTGCTCAGAAACTTGCCCAGTTATATCTCTGGACAATCCAATTGATGTCCGCTTGGTGCGTGGTGTAGGATGTCCACCCCGGTCGTCTACGCACCTTGCGAGCAGGTGAAAAACTCGTAATCTTAAGCGGATTGCACAACTCGCAGCCTCCGCTTGAGGTGAGGGCTTTGCACCTGTGAGGTGGGGCGACCGAACATTATCAGGCAACAACCCGCTTCGCTGCCATGATTTGCACACTTAAACTGCAAACGGGGCGTGGCAGGGGTGTTGCCACCGCCTGTCTATCGAGTGGAAAGCTCGATCATCGTAATAGCTCCCAGTGGAAATTAATAATCTGCGCAGCTGGATAAAAGCTTAAAGAGCGCTCATAAAATTGATTAGCAATTGCCAGCAATGGAAATTGCTCAAAACTTTCACTTTAATCAACAATTAGCGCAATAATTGCCAATTGCCACTTGCCAATTGCCGGCTGCCAATTGGAATTTTCAGCAAATTTGAATTCTAATTGGAAAATCTTTCCGTCTGCCCACAGAGCTCAGCTCAGCGCAGCTCAGCAGTTTATGTTTTTATTTCCTCAGTTTCTTTTTCTGCCGCTGCCGACTTGGCCAAGTGAAATTTGTGTTTACATTTCGTCACGCAGCGCAAATTGTCTAAGAAAACAAAAACAAGCGAGAAAAATGCAAATGCAGCCACAAAATGCAATCCAAGGGCATTGACTTTGCCGCGCTCACAAAACTTGGCAAAAAACAAAACTTTTTTCCGCAGTGAATTCGCATTCTTCTGAATATTCATTATGCGGGCGTTGCTCTCTGAGAGCTGTCTGTGTGTCTGTGCTCACACATATGGATATTCATTCATTCAGATTCACCTGATGGGGAATCTAACTAAGCATGATTGCGACACACTTTACAAAGGATCTCCCTTGGGGTGTCCCATTGCATAGGGTTCGTCGGTCTCTCCCTCTCTCTCTCGCTCTCTGCATAACTTCACTTCTTAGAGAGCTTTGTTTTCTCTTTCTATTTCAGCTAAATATCTATCCAAATCTAGCTCTGTTTTCTCCCTCTCTCTGCTGTTCTTTACCTTTCTTAATAAAGAATTCTTTTATCTTACTATCTCTAAATCTCACTCTCTCTCCCTCTCCTTCCCTCTTCTTCTCTCTCTTTCCCTTTTCTTTTCTTTCCTCCTCTCCTATCAAACCTTTACTGTCTTATCCATTTCTATCCATCTGTCTCACCTTCCCTTCTTCTACCCCTCTTAATATCCCCTCTAATTTTCCTCTCCTTCTTCTCACACATTTTGCTTCCTTCTTCTCACACCTTTTGTTTTTGTCTCAGTCTGACAAGTTCTTCATAAATATATACAAGCTTTAATGGGTAATGTGAACGTCCATGTAAAAGTGAGCAGCAAATACTCGATCTACCCTCGCTGACTACCTCTCGCTGACTACACTTCGTAGCAGCTGTTTTCATCATCAACGTCTACAAATAGATACATTGTTTATAACATTTTATGTATTTAGCAAATAAACAAAGCATGACGAAATCTTAAATGCCCAAATGTCTGTCCAAAAGATGCAAAAGCTTGACAACTTTTCAATACTCTGCACATATATCAAAGATATATGCTTATATACTTTCTTTTATGACTTACTAAAAGCGTTTCAATTGCTATGTTTGCCTGTGGGCCAGACCAGCCTAGGCCCAATCCCATTCCTCATTGATTCTACGCCAAAAATAGCCAAGTTATCTTTTCTTATATTGCGACTATAGCCAAGTTACCCTAGACTCGTCCGCAATGGGCACAAGGATACGACTGCGTGACAAGGACTCATAAAGGGAAACGAGAATGCGACAAAAGGCAGCTAAGGTGTGGCGCGCCGCGAAGGCGGTGCCAATTGGCCTAGCGGCACGATTCTTGTTTTCAATACAACAACAAGAACCACGACATATTTATTTAGTAATAGAGTCGAGGATGAGCTAAGAGACAGAGGGTTGCCAGCATAGCTCAAAGCAGCGCTTCGCAAATATTTGCCCAAAATAATCTCGAATAATTATGTGAAGCAAAGAACAACGAAAATAAACGATGACAACAATTAAAGATAATAAGCAAAATATGTATAAGAAACGTAGACAAACCGAAATACACATTTTCGACTTCTCCCAAAGGCTGATTAGCGACTGGAGCGACTCGACGGAAGAGATAATGCGATTAGCATAAAGCCGCGAAAAGTTACTGATGAATCCACGAAAGTCGTTAGCTGCGGCTGCTCAGAAAATAGTGTTAACTACTACTTTAAGCAGTAATTAAAAATATATATATATATTTAGCCAGTCATTAATGAGCAAAATTAATTGAATAGCTGAAGTTTTACTTCATGATTTCTGCATCTTAGGCAAAAAGTTGTTGCCTGAAAGGTAAAGCGAAAATAGAGTTCAAAACAAATACTTAAAGACCCACACTCTCTCACTCTATCTCTCTCTCTTCCATTTTCTCTATAATTATTTTCCTCTCTCTATATGCCAGCCTCTTTTTCTATATCTCATTCTATTCCTCTTTTGCTCTCTCGCTCAATATTCTTTTCTCTTTCCATACCTTTCCCAATTTTGTTCTCTTTTTGCACTTTCCCTCTTTCTCTCTCTCTCTTTACCTTTCATTTTCATTCTGTTGCCCTTAGTCTCTGTAGGTATAAGCGCCTTTTCTTTTTCTCCTCCCTTTCCTTCTTCATCTTTCACTCGCTGTGTCTATAAATCGATCTCTTTCCCTGTGTCTGTCTCCTTCTGCCTCTCTGTTTGACTTAGCTTGCTCTTTCTAGCTTTTTTTCCTCTCCCACTCTCTCTCCCCCTTCCTCGCTAGTACGAAATCTTCAAGGCTATTGCCAAAATAATTCCAGATAAATTTGAATTAGATCAAACTCATATCAAATATTCTTAAGTCAGCCCTCGTTCTTTTTCTAGCTGTATTCGCAAACTTTCGACGCTCTGGCAACACTGATAACAAGAGTAGCCATTTGTTGTTTTCTGCTTGAGTGCAGTCAAACGTATTTTCGGAAGGGAAACACGCCCCGAAGACAAACGAACTGAATGCAATTTGTTTGCTTATGGCAATTGTGTGGGAAGGTGTGTTAGCTCACCTCAACTCTGCTGTGGCTGCTGCCACAGTAACTAGCATTGACAGCAACCACATTAGATATGAAACTGCAAACCATTTATCTTATTTCTTATTTCAATTTCAATTTCAATTTCAATGCGATACGATTTCAGTTTTCAATGATTTAACAATTCCCAGCGAATTGAAGGTCAACCACAAATGGGGCCAAAGCAAAATCGAAAAAACATTTTTGATTCTTATAATTAATGGATAGAATGACGGCAGACTTTTGCCTTATATAAACATATATATATATATATATATAGACACATATATAATTTTGTTTTTTATATATTCATTGTGACCCAGGTTGAACCTGGGTTCCGGTTTTAGCCATTGCCTCTGCCTCTGCCTCTGCCTCAGCTGCGGGTTCAACGTATTTCCCACTCTCTAGCAGCAAAAATAAAACATCAAAGCGGAACGAGAACAATTGACCATAAAAGAGACCACTGTGCAAAAGTACCGTTAATGAGTGTGAGTGCGAGTGTGTGTGTGTGTGAAGCAGCGAGGCTTGGCTAGAAGTTGGGCTATAAAACTCGATGGCCACAATGCAACGCCCTACAAAAGAAGCAAAAAACTGCAGTTGCAATGACGTTGATGCAATCACGCCCCTTGCCACTTGTCACGCCCACAAGTGTGGCCGCTTGACCATAGAAAAGTTTATGGCTGACAGCGATGCTTAATTAACCATGCCAGTCGAGCAGCGACCAACCCAATTTGGCAGCAAATGTGGCATGTGGCATGTGGCATGTGGCAAGCACAACAACAGGTGGCCAAAGTCGGTCAGCAGTGGAAAATCTAGCACAAACGGTTTTTCCTTAACTTTTTTTCTATTTTGCAGATGAGCCAAGAGTTAAAGAACGAAGACGCTGAATGTGGCACAAGAGCGCGAGGGAGACGGCAGATGAGATCTCTCTTCGGGTTGCATAACGCTCGCTGCTCTCGATGATAAACATGCAAGACTTTTATTATCTCATAAGCGATTTAATGTTCGCATTAGTCGAATAGCTCTTTGAGTACTTCGTGCGCTGCTTTGCTTTCAGTGTAGTCTGATTGGATTTTGATACGATAATCCCGTTATATATGCATTCCACTTAGCATTATTGGCTTACGCGAAGTAGGCCCAGGCACTTGCTAGGGGCAAAGGCAAATTCCATATTTCCAAGAAAAAGATATTATATGTGTACACTGAGCGAAATGTTTCGCTGAATTAAAGCTGGCATAAAGATATCTTGGTATATTTGCTTAACTATTTCTAGTATTCCGTTTATAGCTCTATTAAACTTTTCATGACTTTGTAGAGCAGCTGTGAGATTTTAACATAATATACATAATAGATTTTATAGAAATGTTTTTGATTATTCTTTAGATATTTGCTATTTATGCACAGAGCGAAATTAGTCTAAATGTCCAAATCTTTAGAATTTACATTTAAAAACTTCTCAAATGGAGCATTGACAGAAATTATATTGGAAAGATAATTGTAGACTCTGATCTTATAGATCATTTGATAAGCTGGCTCTACCTACGTCTAAAATAAATTGAGTGTTCGTAAAGTTAATTGGAGACTTTTTATGTAACATAAAAGAAATACAAAACTTCAACTTCATTAATTAAGCCTTTACTAATTTACACCTTAAAGTAAGTTCAAATTTAATCCAGTTTTTCTATGCGCTCCATGCATAATTCATAAACTTAATAGGCTTTTAATTTAGCCGCCACTGTCAGACGCTGCCCCTGCCCCTCCCACATGTTTACTTGTTTTACTTTCGTCAGCAACTGTTGTTAACCAATTAGTCTGGTCTAACGTCTTGCGCTATCTGCGATCTTCGTGTTTTCTCTGCGTCTTCTTCTTCTCGAAAACATCATTTACACCTGTTTTTCAGTTATGTGCGATAAGTTTTCCCTTTGTTGGCTTGGGACACATCTCTTCTCTCTCTCTATGCACTTAACGGTATTTACCTGGCTCCGACGAAGAGCGCGACGTGGAGGCCGATGAGCTGGCCGACAGCATGCCGGATATATCCGTTTGCACAGCGACATTTATTTTGGACATTATTGTCGCCAGCTGAGCTTGCTCTAGCACTCGCTATCGCTCTCTCGCTTACTCCAGCTAACTCCTGGCCACCCTTCACTGTGACCTACTTAACACTACTCGGCCAGCCGGCTGCTCTTTTGTACGCCAGGCGGCGCCACTTGAAATCAATTTTCGAAATTAATTTGCGTTTTTAAACATTTCAATTGATTGTTTACTGTTGAGCACGGGGCGTTGCTTTGTTGAAGATTTATTTAGACGCTGTGCGCTGACCTCGAAAAGTTGGGAAACTCGCCGAGCAAACAAAAAGAAAACTCAAAATCCAATGCCAAGCACACAATGCGCTCTTATAATGCACTCTTATACACTCTTATACACACGGCGAAAAACACGCGACATTTATGAATGGGTGGCAAAAGTTTGACGAGAATTGTTTAGATTTATTTTAGTTGTTGCTATCACAGTTGAAATATTTAATGGAAATGAGATATTTTTGTTGAAAAAATAGATGTGCGAGTTCTTACAGCGCGCGGAAGCACAGTAAATAGCAGTTAAAGGCAAATACAACAACGTCGCATGCGAAGACGACGACGACGACGATGATGACGGTAACGACGGAAGCAGAACCGCTTGGAACGCACGCTGAAAATGAACTGAGACCGCGATGTTTCAATCGTTTTTGGCGCAGCAGCTTTCAGGTAGACGGCGACAGCGTGAACGAACAAGACAGAGAGAGCGGTGAGAAGAGGGAGAGAGTCAAGCGGCTGAGCGCGTAGCGGTTAACTTTTGAACTTGGCTTCATATATATGTGTGTGTGCTTGTCTGCTCTGCCTGAAATATATATGCGCATGCATGTGTGCGTGCGCATGCGTCAATATGTATGCAGAGAGCGACGACGTCATTTTCAAAAGCAGATGATACGCAATGATAGCAGCAACAACAATAGCAAGTGACGGCCACAAAACCAAACACACACGCACACATTTGTATAAGCTACGAGCTACAGTTCGACAGTCACACTCGGAGCTTAAAACGTCACATTCAACACGCCACCTAGCGCCCTTTCTTATTAATTACCTACATAAATTCTTTGGCTTTACAGTTTTACGAGCTGCTTGGCATTTTTTCAACAAATTAATTTCAATAAACTAAGCAAAATGACGTCAGCTGGCAACGAAATTTGCTCTTGTTGAGGGTCAAAGCAGCCTTTGATCTTAATGCGCAAATTTATGATAAACTAAGCATTCATTTATATGTACAACTATATCTATATAAATTGCGAGACAGTTTGAGAGGCATGCACACAGCTAAGGCCAGTCTAGCTTAGCACAATGGCTGCACAACTGTAAAGGGCTGTCTTATATCTTAAATTAATTTTGAGTACAAGTGTGCGTGGCCCATAAACCGCTATTTGTGCGACAATGCGAATACAATTAGTAAATATAATAAAAAAAAATAAACTAAAAATTAATTTTGGTTAAACATTTGACAAAAACACAAGCATAAACGGAACAAAAACACCAAATTAATATTAAATTTAAATATTTATAAATAAATACTCTAGATGTAAGATAAAGTATAGTAGAATAGTTTGAAATGCACTGGTGTTTCTTTTTTCTTCATATAAAAATGATTAATTTTTATTTGCCAAAAAATTATGCAAAAATAAATATTTTTTCACTTTAAAATAAGATTAAACAAATGCAAATTAAAATCGATGCAAAATGCGTTTTGTCAAATGCAAAAACAAAAGTTTTCCAAAAGAATAATTACAAAAAAATAATGTAAAAAAAAATAATAATAATATTAATAATAATAATAATACAAAATTCATTCGCTTGGCAAAAGTTTGATAAGGCACAAAGCAGGTTTTAGAGCAACTGGAAGCTCAAAGCTTTTAGCTTTCAGAGCAGCCCACGAAAGCCGGCAAAGAGACGCTCCAGCCGCCCCATGGGCCGATTGACCAGCGCATAGAGCGTCCGCAGCGTCCCCGCCAGAAATCGATAGAGCGTGAAGTGCTCCAGCAAATTGCCAACGTCCAATACAAAGTCAATCAATCGGGCCACAAATCGCGTTATGGGCGCACACTTGCACTCGACAATGGGCGTGGCAGCAGCAGCAGCGGCAGCGGCAGTAACAGCATTTAGTTGTCCAGTTGCAGTTGCAGTTACAGTTGCGATAAGCCGACAGCCTGACGGCAAGGACTCACCTTTTGTCTGGCCGGCGCACTGAGTCGATAGCACTGTGCCAGGCGGACCCCTCAGCACAGCCTCCAAGCAGCGTATGTTGTCACGGCAAGTGTTTATTATCTCGTTCTGGACGGGAGAGAGAGAAGAAGGAAAAAGCATTAATTAAAGCTGATTGAAGCTAAGCAAATCCAAGAAACTCAAAACTCTCATTGCAAATATGAACAAACTGCGAACTAATGACATTTGCTTCACTTTAGATTAATCCTAGAAAACAAAAGAAGCTTAACAGAAAGGTCTTCTAAAGTTATATTATTTATACTTTTCTTATTCATTAAACTTAATTTCTAACTAGATTTTATCTCAGCTCAAGTGCAGCATCTTATTAAAGCTTCCATAAAGCGAAAATCTTAACTGAAATGATCTTATAGAATTTACTACAGAACTCTTAAGGTAACTCTTTAACTAACATTTTAACCCACTAAACTCTCTTAGCTGTTAATTAGTCATTTTTTTAATAATTAAGCATAAGCTCTTGAGCATTCTCCTAATATAAGCAAAAATAAGCTCATTAAAGCTTGTTCAAGGTAAATAAATTTATTTTAAAAGGGTCTCACTCAAAGCTTTTGTTTTTTGCTATTTGATTATCTTCCAGTTCTAATACCCCTCAGTTCCATTACGCTCCCCATTATTCACTCTCTCATTCTGGCCTTTCTCGACGTTCAACTTACATAATCTTCTGGTCTTAGCAGGTGACAGCGTATCTTGAGGGCGCGTGTATCCTCGAGCCTGTCCTTGCTCTGTTGCAACAGCGAACGCATCTCCTGCTCGCCATCCTCGGAATCATCGCCGCTCGACGAGGAGGTGGCCGGAATGGCCTTGATGGACTTCTCCAGATTGCGTGAGGAGCGTCGGCGCTCATCGGTTGTCACGGTGCGACGGCGTCTGGTCGAGGTGTCGCTCTCCGAGGTGCGACGCAGCAGCGACTGAGCTGAGTGGCTCATCGAACCACCGAATTCCAGTTTACGACCCACCGATTCGGTGCGTGCGGGCAGCTGGGCAGACGACGAGTTCTTGGGTGTCATCAGCGCCGTGGCCGAGGAGGAAAGATTTGCAGTGGTTGCATGATGCTGCAGCTGCCGTTGCTGCTGCTGCTGCTCCTGCTGTGAGCCAACTGCATCGGCCATGTCTGCAATAGATTGGATAGTATTAGAGCTGAATGTTATGTCCTCTATGTATGCCTACCTTGACAGGATTTGCGGCGCACTTCGAGCGTCTTGCGACGTCGCTCGTACTGCAGCTCGAGTGCGCGTTGACGGCGCGCGTGATCGACGCTGCTGCTGATTGTCTCCTGGGTAATGTGCAGCGCCTTCAGCTCGTGCTGCTGCAGCGAGTCCATGCGCGGAGGCGAAAACGAATCCAAGTTGTTGGCTGCCGACAGCGAACTGCAGCAATCTGACTGCGAGTCAATGAAATTGCTGCAGATATAAAGCAAAATCAAAATTATAAGACAAAATCATATACGAGATATATGTATATATAGAGTCTATAAATAGATCGGGGCTACTCACCGATAGTCATCGCCAAATTCCAACAGACGACGCGCTGCATCCGAGTCGAAGCCCTCCGAATAGTTCTCCGAGTTGTATTTCTCTTGATAGTTATCCCAGGCAGTCTCCGAGATGCTGCTGTGATGCTCCTCAGTGCTCAGCTCTATTGGGGGACATAAACACGTTTACATAAGCATTATTAGCAATACATTTCATAGGGTGTATAAGGGGGTTCTGGGTGCAGTTTGCGGTACCTTTTGGCCTGGGTACGAGCGTGCGTGCTTGCGTAAGAGAAATGAATATAATAGATAGACAGAAAAGTATTTTAAGAGCTGTTTGTGCGGCCATCGAATGCTATTGAAACGACTTCGAATGGTAATGCAGCAACATACGAGGTGTGTTCAAAAAGTATTGCGAATTTTGATTTTTGATATAATCGATTTCCCGTACTGCCCAGACATGGCACTCTGCGGCTTTTCCTTGTTGCCGAAACTGAAGAGAAGAACGATTGAGGAGGATCGAGGACGTTGGCCCAAATGTATACTATCTGTTGGCGATTACTTTGAAGCGGACGTAATAGATACTCGTCATGACTAAATAATTTCGTGAAAAGCACAAAATATACTTTTTGATACTTTTTGAACACCCCTCGTATGTGCCTCATATGATAGACAGCATGTCTGGCTTTTAAATAGAATCTATTCTGTTACCGAAGGTCGATATGAAACGTTGCTTTGCCAACATAACTTTGTGATCACCGTTTTTCCGCTTTTGCAAGTGAATTTGTCTAAGTGGAAACTATATTCCGATCATTTATGAACACTATCTGAAAGATTATGCATGTAGCTATGTGAAATTTTATTTAACTAAATAAATTTATAGTTTTTTAGCTTTCTAGTTTCTTTTATCTTCAAATTTTTTGAGCTGCGCCTTAAAAAGTTCTCAAGATATAAGACTTAGATAGGACTCTCATTTTCATTCAGATACTCTTATTTCATATATTATTTATAACTATTTCTTTTTGATAAGCTAAAAAAAATTATTATTATATGAAACGTATTTATTTCCTTAAACAATCTGACGTTTCCAAGTTTTCGGCCTGTCACTTCAGATAGTGAATAGTATCTTATCTTTTACCATGCTAAATATATTTATAATCACTTTCAATAAATAGAAAATAAGTTTAAAATACCATCAGAGACAGAGAATTTGGCATAGATTAATATTCCGATTTGATATGGTTTATGTTTCTGTCAGACTTGGGTAGTCCGTAATATCAATTAAATTGAGATATGCCCAAATATTAGGTAAAATGGTCTCTACTCATAGAGTCAAATTTCTATATAAGTCTCCTCACATCAGCTGTAATACGTGACGCATCTCATGCAATAATTTTAATACACCCTATAACTGCGATAAGTCCAAGCTGCATGATATCATGATTATATATCACATATCAACAAGGAAGTGGGCACTCACTTCGCTTCAATAGTATTCCGACGGATTCGAGTATAGGAGATAACTGACTATTCGTTCACACCCTTCGACCGCACTCACCTGCTTGCTGCTCATCCTCGTGCATGTAGTTGGAGAGCGCTGCGAGTGCACCCAGGCGTATCTCGCTGGCCCTCAGAGCCGCTGTGGTGAAGGAGCCGACACGGAATTTGGGCACCATGAGCTGTGACTCGGAGTCGGCCTCGGGTGTGGCTTCGTCCTTGCTGGGACTGACCTTCTGTATGCTCAGCAATGCATTCGTGAACTCCTGCAGCTGCTGCGAGGACATCGATTCGCAAGATTTCATCAGCGTTTGGGTCAGATCGCCGTGGGTCTCCGACCCGGAGTCTGACTTCTTGCCTGCCGAGGCGGCGGACATGCGCTTCTTGCGTGCTCTGCGGCGACGCAGCGAACCCTTGCTATCCGCCTTCCTGGCTGCGTTACTGCCCGTGCCCGAGGAGGAGGCAGCGCGTGCTCGTGGACCTGGCGACAGCGAGTCCAAGGCGCTCTCGCTGATCGAATGACTGGCCAGACCCGTGCCTGGCGAGCTCTGACCAGCAGCTGCAATCGCTGTGGTCAGCTGGGCGGCATCGGTGGTCAGCTGCGACAGGCAGGAGACGCTCCATGGACGCTCCGACTTGCGACGCGTCTGCGTGCGCTTTACGATCTTCACATTCAAACTCTGATTGCTGCTGCCAAAGCCAAGCGGCGTGGCTGGCTGATGAATGGGCTCAGCAGAGCCGCCTATGCGTTCCGTCGAATTGCCATACGAATTGGTGCTCGTCTGCATGCAGGTGGCAATGGAGTCGGTGAAGCCCTCCGAGGAGTCCGAGTTGGCGCCGCAAGCAAGATTTGTCTGTGGCATGGAATCCGTTTCACTTGCCTCGCCCGAAGCTTCGCAGTCATCCGGCTTGCTGGGCACCTCGAGATGACTGCGAGTGAGCAGCTGTGGTGTAGACGGCTGATGTTCCAGCCACTCCTAGAAACAATTTCAGTGGAGATTAGATGAGTTCGTTTCTGGCTGTGCTGTGCCATTGACTTACCTCAACGCGCTGCTTAATGGGTCCGGGCATTTGGAGTTCACGTTTCTTGACCGTCGACGAGATTTTGATGATGGAATGTTTCTGCTTCGTTGGCGTCTTCAACGATGACTCCTGAGCGTCGCGCACCAAATGCTCCGCTTCGAGCACAAGCTGCTTGATTGAATCATGCGAGACCTTGCCCTAAACAAGAGAGAGTAAGAGGGAGAGAGAGAGAGTTAGTTAATGAGCATAGCGAATTGTAGAGTGAAAGAAACAATTGAGTGTAAATTGAGGGCGTATGAGGAAGTGCAGCTAGCAGCTTGACGAGCTGTATGACAGAGAGAGAGAGAGGAAGGAAGAGAGATGGGAGAGGGAGCTGGGAGAGCGTGAGCTAGATTGTGAGGTTGTTGCCTTATCAGCGAGTTCTCCGAATTGCAGCAGAAAGTTTCAATGGTCTGGCCTGTAGCTCTCTCAGTTCACTTTTCTATTGCCATTCATTAGTGTTATTCATGGCATTCGTTTGTACAGTCATATGTATTCACAAAACACTCACTCACTATATCATTTCTTATCTTCCATTTCTATTTGCATTTTCTTTTCTTTTTAACTTTCTTATCTGCTTGCTGTTGCTGTTTTGTCTTGTGCCTCAATTAAGGGAATCAAGCAAAAATATTGCTCAAGGCCTTGCCAAATTGTAATTGCAGCCAAAACTGATGTCATATCAAATACCCTAGCCTTGACTACTAGCCAAACATAAGAGATATTTCGATTTGAATATTTCTATCAATTATTTTTGCTTTTAAAACTTATCGATTTTATACATCGATAACAAGAATTGCACAAGAAATTAGTTTTAAATGCTGAAATTTAAAACTGATATCTAAAACTGTTTTAAAATGAGTTGAAAGGTCTTTGATTTGTGTGAAATGTAATTAGAGTCGTAAAAAAAAAGTTTATAGAAAATTAAATAAATCAACTATCGATACTTCGATAAGTAATTTTACATATTTTAGGCCAAGTTTTACGCTTTGCAAATTAGCCTTTGGTTTACATAAAATTCAATCAAACTCATAACAAAAATCAACTATAAACAAATAATTTATTATCGAAATCTATAGAGTTCTATCGATAAATCGCTAAATTAAGACTAGAACAACTTTCAGTTAAATTTTAAGCTAAGCACACGTATTTGGTTTATATGATATAAAGTTGAGTTTATGAGAAAAGCCTCCCATAAAGAGCGAAGCTATGAAAGCTAAAGATCGATAACAGATGTTGCTTTGAAATGTTTACCCTTCAACACACCAAAAACTTTTAGTAAACAAATTCCAAATGTAAATTTGTCAAAATCTATTTGATTGTTCAACCAATTAGAACTTTGCAAGACAAAAATAGACAAACTCAGCGAAGCGTTGATAATGTTTGAACATTGTTGTGTGCTTTTCAGTTATATTTTGCTGTTGCCCAACTAACTCGAAAAACAAAAGCACAAACAAAGGCAAACGTTTGCGTTAACCTTTTTTACAAAGAGGCATTAAAAATAAATGTTTAATTGCAAATTGTTTGAGTGTGTGTGTGTTTGTTGCACAATTGAACAATTCCAAGGTGGATTTTAGTAGGTTGGCTTTCAGCTGGCAAAATGTGACTCAGTTCGAGTTCCAGACCGAATTTGACTTGGTATAGATAGCTTTATATATATATTTTATCTACATAGTTGACAAGTTTATCTGCGGTTTTATGTATCACACTCTCTGGCAGAAAGTCAAGCGTCTGTTGGCTGTGTCCGTGTCTGTGTCTGTGTTGAACACACGCTTCAACTTTATTGCTAATCTTTGGCTTAATTTAATTAACAGTTTCCTGTGGACAGGCCACTCCAAGCAGTTTGAGCAGCACTGCGCCTGTCAAACTGCGCGCAAACGGAAACAATTTTCCCCAAATGTGCAAATGTTCAACGTTTTACGAAGTTGCAGCTGCTGCAAGTGCCACTAAAAACCAACAACAACAGCAACAATTGAAAGGCCTTTGCGATTGGGCGTTTGCGATAATTAAAGGCAATTATATGGAGTTTGGCTTTTTGCTTAGCCATTGGCCAATTAAGCGAAGCAAACTGGAAACTTTGCTCACTGGCAACCAAAGCTGGCAAATGGGGCTATAGTTAAACGATAGTTGCTGTAATGCTTCTGTCTCTCACCAGTTCTAACAAGTTCTTAGTTCAAATTTAGATAGATTTTATGCAGATACGATAGTTATGCGATACATTTTGATATATGAGATCAGTGTAGTGTAATAATAGAATAATACAAATTATGTTTAAGCTAATTTTGTTAAGGTCTCCTTTGCAAAGCAGTTGATTTATACGATAGTTTACTAGAGCATAACTTACTAGAGCAGTTAGAGTACTCACAATTTACTTGCGGGCAGCTTCTGTTGCTCACGCTGCCATCTCTAGCACGGCTTAGGCCAACACAGTGGCTGAAAAACTGTTGAAATGTCTGCAGACAGCTCAAGCTTAAAGTATTTTTTTCACTTTATTTTGGCAGCCTTGACAATCGTCGTTTGGCCAATTTAATTGCACTGCGGCACGCAGCTCGCAAATCGCGAAATTTAATCGCGCAGTTTGACAAGCACTGAGCGCACTTAATTACACACAAAAAACACAACTCGAAATGCAAATTACGCAAAAAATCAGACAACAAGTTAACAACAATAGCAATAACAATAACAATAACAATAGCAATAGCAATTGTAGCTCAGCTCAAGCTGCTTTGTGGCTTTCTATTGTTTGTATCTTTTTGTAACAGTGTATCGATGCAAATGTATTTGTAACCGTATTTGTATCTGTATCTGTATCTGTAGCACAACCAGCGTCGATGACTATGCGAAACGTACTGAAAGTTTTGCCTGGCAAAAACTGAGCAGCGCTAATTTAGCTGATAATGATTTTTGCACAGTGCCAGCGATTAGATAAAAAAGCTGGCAAAAAAAAACTATCGCCGCAAAGTCATCGATCAGCGTTTGTCATCGATAATTGCGTGGCTTTTATTTGCTCAAATTTCCGAATATTTATTTTGCTTTCTTTTAATTTTTGTTAACAACTCAATTCGAGTCGAGTTGTGCCCTGATAAGATTAGATTAGTTCGATTCGATCCGATTCGATTTTGGCGCAGTGTACGTCATTAATGTTACGCTTTATCAGAGCTGCTAGCTCGATTGCTTATCGCGCATAAATTAAACAAATATATATATATATGTATATACATCCATTTATATATGAATAAATCTCAACTTGCGAAATTTGTCAATATTTTTTTTTTTTTTTTTTTTTTTTTTTTTTTTTTTTTTTTTTTATTTCTTTATTTTGTTGCAGCTTATTGTCTTAGACTCTATAGCGCATTTAGCTCTAAACCTTAACTAATGGGAGGGCAGATATGCCAATTATTCTGCACTTGTAGCTACTATCTTAATTAGTTCTAATATTGTCTAGAGGATGCGATCTCTTCAGTCTTCGCCTATTGTTGTTTATAGCCAGGTTGCTTGCGAGATGGTTAGGATGCGCTGCAAGTCTGTCCGCGTATCTTGAACTGTGTCGCCCAATGAGTTCAGCAACTGTGGGAATTGCTAAATCCCTATGTAAGACTGAGTTTCTTACAAACCAGCTGGCTCCAGTCCATCTGCGTAGTGCTTTATTCTGCAGGGTCTGAATTTTGTTCCTTGTAGTCTTCGCCGAGGAGCCCCATAGGGAGATACCATATACGAAGGTTGGGACAACTATTGCCTTGTAGATGGCGGCCTTGCTGCTGTAAGACAACTTGCTTGAAGCTCTCAGCATCCAGTCGAGGGTTTTTAGCTTGCTTTTGCATTTTGAGGTTACTTGACTTATGTGCGCTTTAAAAGTCAGCCTTCTGTCAAGAGTGATACCAAGGTACTTTACTTTTGAGGCTTTGGGAATAGTGGGCCCCAATGCAACGCTTGGGCAATCTCCTCTTCTAGTGGCGAAGGTAGTATGTACAGACTTTTGTGCATTAATGGTGATACACCACCGTTTTGCCCAGCGTCCGAAAGAGTCCAGATATTTTTGTAGTGAGTCTGAAGCTTCTTGCGCAGATACGTGACGTGATAAGATGGCGGTGTCATCTGCATAGGTCGCTATGAGTACTGCATCTGTACTTCCTATATTTGGCTCGGGAGTTGGCATATCTCCTGTGAATAAAGTATAAAGTGTTGGGCCTAGAACACTACCCTGTGGTACTCCAGCCATAATTGGTCTAGTCAAGGATACTGCTTGCCCCCTTGACACTTGGAAGGTTCTTCCAATAAGGTATGAGGATAGCAACGCGAAAAATGGGGCTGGAAGGGTGGTCCTCACTTTCTGCAGCAGTCCCAGGTGCCAAACTCGATCAAACGCCTGTTTGATGTCTAAAAAGACGGCAGAGCAGTACATCTTTTCTTCAAAGGCTCCAAGGATATGGTGCACAACTCTGTGAACCTGTTCCGGTGTTCCATGCTGTCTCCTGAAGCCAAACTGATGGTTTGGAATGGCCTCCTGGCGTCCCAGATGTGTCAGTACTCGTTCCAGAAATATTCTTTCGAATATTTTGGAGAGTACTGGCAACAGGCTAATTGGTCTGTACGACTCAATTTCTCCCACGGGTTTGCCAGGCTTAGGAATCATCACAATCACGGCGCGCTTCCAGCAGGCTGGAAAGTGCCGGATGCGGAGCATGGCGTTGTACACCATAGTTATGTAGTCTATGGTGGAGTCAGGCAGTGCTCTAAGGACTCTGCCGTTTATTAGATCATATCCAGGGGATTTTTTTGCCTTCACTCTTCTGATGTGTTCAAGAACCTCTTCTTTTGTACATCCAGTTATCTGGTCTTCAGCTGGGAGGGGCGAGAGAACGATGTCTTCTGTTGCTTCGATTTCTGAGGCCTCTGCGGTAATCACCGGCGTGAATTGGTCTTGAAGGTGGTTTGCAAAAGCCTCAGCTTGAGCTTCGTCTCCAATGTGCCAGGAACCAGAAATGCTCCGAATGGGATGACGACGTATTGGCTGCCGTTTGAGCTTTCTTGTAAATTTCCATAATTGAAACTCTGCGTCAGTGGGCGATTCAGCTCGTACCAGCGCATCGCTGATACACCTCTTTTGAAGCAGGGCGAGAGCAGCTTTAAGATGCCTCGTGGCTTCGTTGTACATGGATTTGGCATCAGGCGTGCGTAATCTTAACCAGCGTCTCCTGGCCCATCTTTTGTGTATTAGTAGGTGTTGGGCCTCCAAGGTGAGGGGGATGTTGTACGGAGACTGTTGTCTTGTTTGGCAAGATGGTGGGGCGGCTTGGTGCGCAGCTTTGACTATTTCTTCCTGCAGTTTGTTTGCTGCGTAGTCCACGTCTTCAGGAGTGTTAAGTTCCATTTCTATGTGCAAAGAGTAATGGAGCTCGCGCCTAAAGACTCCTAAATCTGATCCTGCTGGCAGTAGTTGTTTCCTAATGGGCAAGGGCTGTGGCTGCGCGTGGATTGTGACTATTAGTGGCAGGTGGTCAGAGGATAGGTCCAAGGATTCTTCAATGGTCAATTGCCGGTCACAGATGCCTTTGTAGACAGCGAAGTCGATTGCCGAGGGCCTGTGTCCATTAATTGGGTAACGGGTGGGGGCTCCAGTCGCCAATATGCTGAATTGTAAGTTTTGAATCGCCTCAAATATGACTTCTCCGCGACGATTCGCACTATTGCTTCCCCAAAATGGGTGCCATCCATTCCAGTCGCCGCCGATGAGGGTCTTATTCAACCTTTGGCCTAGAACCTGTTCCATGTGATGATCACACAGACCAGTGTTTGGCGGAAGATAAATTGACGCAACTTCGATCGCTCCAATAGACGTAGGCAGGGTGATGGCTGAGACCTGCATTGTTGCGTTGCAAATTGGCAGTAAAGGTGTATGCGGTATTGTTGCTCGTATGAGGATTGAGGATCCACCAAAGCAGTTTGCTCCTTCACCATGAGCCTGATAGTGTTCGTATCCGAAAATTTGTGTAGTGGGGCACTCATGAGTTTCTGTTATTAACATTATATCTATGTTTTCTTGTGAGAGAAACGCAGCCAGTTCCTGAGTCTTGTTTCTCAGGCCATTGGCGTTCCAGATACCCACACGTAAAGCCATTATTTGTAGGCAAGCTTGGTTATGATGGCCATTAAACTGTTTAGCATGGTTGCTTGTTGGGATTGTACTTCTCGCATCGCTTTGAGCTCGGCATTAATTGCGTCAAACTGACGTTGTTGTTGCTGAAGCATTTCAGTGAACAAAGTGTCACTTGTGGTATTCTTATTTGACGGTCCACCTCTAGCGGCCTGTGCGTAAGAAACACCACTAATAGGCGTTGCAAAGCTCGTGGCTTGGGTAATGCTCCGGGGCCTTGTAATTTCGGAAGCAGTACTCGGACCCGTAGACGGTGTTTGTGTGGGACTCCTTTTTTGTGCTGGGGATTGCAATTTGCGCAACCGCTTGTATACTTGGCAGCCCTTATAGTTGGCTGGGTGCTGTAACTCACAGTGCACACAAGTTGGTGCCTGGTCCTTTTCGCGGGTGCAGTCTTTGGATGCGTGTTTCCCGGCGCAACGCACACATCTGGGAGCTTTGTGGCAGTAGCGTTGTGTGTGTCCAAATTCTTGACAGCGATGGCATTGTGTCAGGTCGTTGTATCTTCTTGGCAGTTCCACTGTGCAGCGTTGCCTGCAGACAACTCGAGTGTCCAAAATTTCTTTGTTGTTGGGGGCCTGAGCCACGTCAACAAAAAATATATTTAGCGGTGTTTTGTCCATACGGCTCAGTGGGTTGTGCACATTTGTAATTGTGTGGCCTTTGGTTTCCAATTCCTTTTTAATTAGTGTTGTATCAGTGCTGGAGTGAAGCCCTTTGAACACGACTCTATATGGTTTGTCCTCCTTAAGCTGGTAGCAGTGGAACTCCAATTCCAGCTTAGTAAAGTGGTCTATAACTCTGCGATAGTCCTCACTGCATTGGGTTAATACACCTATGTTATTCTTCTTTGGCTTAATTACGTATGATTTAGCATCAATTACTTTATCTATTATCTGTTGAAGTAGGGCCACAGACTTGATGTTTGGACACCATATGGGGGGCGGACGAGGTTTCGGTGTAGTTTGCTGGTCGGTCAATACTGGGGCTTCTGGAGCTACAGGTGATTCGCTGTAGTCTTCATCTTCTTCTACGAGCAGTGAAAATCGATTTTCTGATATTAATGCTGCATTGCTGGTGCTTGGTTCGTCGAAGATGAGCCTTTTCTTGATGGTTTTTGGTGAATTTGGCTGTTTACGTTTCGTGTTTTTGTTGTTAGTGATGCCTTGCACGGAGGCGATATCTATTTTTGAGTTTATTGGCATGATGGAGGCTTGCCTATTTGCCATCACAACGTTAAGCTGGGCTTGCATTTCTGCATTTACCTTTACAGGTGTAGCGAGGTCATTGACATTAGATGTCATCGCGGATTGTGCTTTTGAGTGCAGGCGCACTCGCGCCAAGCGACGAAATTTCGTAAATTGCAATTAAAGCAATTGAGTTACGCGGAAGCAAGCGATAAGAAAACGCTGCGTGTGCGGTTTTTGTTGCTGTTGCGTTGAAGAATGCACCGCAAAGTTCTATTTTTAGAACTCTGCAGCAGTAGAGCTTAAGCGAAGGCTGTTCGAATTCACGTCTTTACAGGTCGAACGACTGATTGTTGTATTCAATATTAATCAAAGCGACGCAAATTTCACTCGCAATAAATCAACGCACGCAACAGGAGAGGAAACTCTGGAGCCGAAACTGCCTGAGGGACAGTGAAAACGGTGCGTGCGATAGAGCTCTGATTGGAGCTACGACTGAGTAGAGCTCTGCCGTTGCAATCGAGTTGTCAGCGACAAATGCAAATCAGACACACATACACACACACGGACACGAGCAACATGTTGCTGATGCTCGTCTGTCTGGCCAAATAAAAGTGAGAGTTGAGCAGCCGCAACAGCAACAAGCAGACATTTGCCTATGTCCAGCCAGTTAATAATTGCTTCAATAACAGCCAAAGAGCAGTTAGTGTGCAGGCCTGACATTATGAAAAGCGCAAAGAGAGGCGTTTATGGAGGGCTTGCTTTACGATGTAAATGCGTGAAGCTCCCATGACGTTATGAGAAGCGTAAACAGAGGCGTTCACGGAGTATTGCTTCAAGCATTTTCAGAAGTCGAAGTTCACTCTTAGAGACAGTAGAAACAGATCTATAAAATTCTAAAGAGCTTCGTAGCGGATGTGAAGACCATCGTGGAATATAACAGTAATGCTGTGTCAGCTATGATTGCAAATTTTATTAATAAAAATAAAAATTGATTGAGCATCATTAAATTAAAAAAAAAGTCTTCAGTTTCCTCAATTATGATTTTTAGCAACAAGAGTTCATTTTTAATGGTCTTCAAGTGGGAACTCAAAGATTTTCTTTTTGTCAAGGTACATCTGATAAGACTTGTTAGAGATTTGTGAAATGTGTTTCCAGACATAAAAGAAAGGAAGGGAATCAAAATTATAAAGAAACTAATAATGTATTAAGGAACAAGAGCAATCCCGATGACTTCTTCCTTATGCTCTTAAATTCCTATGGCCATTTCTATACCCATTCAGAAGACATATATTTGCTACTATTTCTACAATATATCTCCACAATCAACAGCATTTTTTGTAACAGATTGTTTTTGCCAAATTGGCAACTATTTCCGAGCCATTTTCCACTTTGCTTTCATTTTGCCAAACACTTGCCTTTTGATTTCCACCCGCTGATTTTCACAAATAACTTTGATGATCTCTCGAATTACAAAGATGATCGTTTACAGCCCATTACAGCGTGGCAACTTGTCATTGGACATGTTTGCGGGACATGTTTACCAGCAAATTGACACGAAAAAGCCACAAAAAGAGCTTAGAGAAATTTGAGGCGAATTCAAACACACGCACCACTGGACCACCGGACCACCAACAAAGTGGTTCAACTTTATCGATTGAATCGATCCAAGTCGCTGCTCGTGTGCATTTCAAGCGAAACTGAAACCATGAGAGCCCATCTCAACAACAACAACAAAGAGTAGCCGTCGAACCGTTATGTGTATAATGGCACAGCAGAGGCCCAGCTCTCCCTCTCCCTCTCCCTGCAGGCTCGCTAGCGATCATGGTCACGGTTGTGCGAACGTGCGACACGCAATGTCTCCGACTCGCCACGGCGCTGGCTGCCACAACAAGATGACAAATTGCAAAGTACCGTGCATTTATATTTCTCTTCAATATTGCGTCGATGAAAGGGAAAACACTGCTCAGTTGTTGTGGGCAGCCTACACTGAGAGAAACTGAATGGAAGTTAGCAGATGAGAATTTTATGTTGCAGGCAAAGAGATATAGATGAAAGAGGAGGTTGGCTCAAGGAGAGTTTCCAAACAACTTAATGAAAGGGAAAACTTTACACAGTTGTGTACACTGAGCGAAAATAGATGGGACTTGTTGCTAGAAAACGATAATGGTATAGATTGTAGAGGAAGTAGTGTTTGGGAAAGTGTGCACTGAGAGAGACTACAAGACTCTTTATGGGCGTAGAGGAATTTATGATCTATAGAAGATCTTTCTCTAGAAGATCTTGCTGCTCTAATTTTTCACTGTGTTTAAATTAATATGAATATAAATAGATTTGGTCAGCGTGCGACTCAGAGAAAGCTAACTAGAAGACATTCCTCCAGCAGTGACTGGACACAAACGAAGCACAGGAAATGCTTCCGCTTCCTTTACACAGTTTTACAGCAGTGACAAGTGCAGAGGGAGACGCAAGGAATGGGAGAAAGAGATGCAGACTTACCTTAGTTGGTGACATAGTCGCATTGCTGCTGCTCGCCTGCGATTTGCTGGATTTGGCCGACTTGGCGGGCGAGCGAGGCGGCAGACGATTGACTCCATTCTGCTGGGCAGTTGGACTGGAATTCCCATTGCTCATGTCGCTGGGCCAAACGCTGATGTTGCAGATGTCCGCACGACTATAGTAACTGCTGTTGTTGTTGTTGTGGCAGAGCAGCTGCAAAGGTAACCAAAAAATTGTTTTAATTAAAGTTGTCAGGCAAAACGAATGCCTTCAAATGCCTCTGCCTCATAATCAATCAGCTGGACGCAAAGCCACTTCCTGCTGCAGCCTTTGCTTCGTGTTGCATGGCTCTATTACAGTGTGCCTGCCACCAATATACCCATAAATCTGGCCCGGTCGAACGTGTCCTCGTTCCAGCAGTCGCAACAGCAGCACTGTCTGTCCTCTATCTCAACTGTCTCGCTGCAGACCCTTTCAATTGCTCAAACTGTTTGCTAAGTTTCTTTTCCATCATACCCTGTACTTATTGGAGATGCAGTAATGGGTATTTTGAAAAACATTTTCTAGTTATTAGAGGCTAAAGATGTCACAGAGGTCAAGGTATTATGAAACTATTTTGATACTCTCAGTAAAGGAAACATAAGGAATACCCCTAGGGAATGCATATATATTTAATAAGAGGGCATCTTTGCGTCGTTCACTCCCGACTAGAGCACTCTTTCGACTTGAGTTTGCCTTTGTTTCTTTATATTTTGTATGCCGCAATGAAGAAATAAATCACACGTTTTTAGTTAATTTCGTACTTTCCCATTTTTGACGTGCGCTGCTCAGTTTTTCCTGGACTATCGCCAGCTCTGACTGACTGTCTGACTGACTGTCCGTCTGTCCGTCTGTCTGCCTGTCTCTCTGTCTGACTGACAGTCAGTGCAGCCCAGCAGCAGCGCAGCAGCAGTCGGCAGTCAATAGTTGGGCATCAATTTTGAATGGCAGCTGCTGCCGGGACGGGAGTCGATCGCGCAGTTGGTGCATGATTCGCTTTCATTAACCCAACTGCTTAATCATCAGGTGCAGGGGAAACCAGAAAGCAGCGCAGTAGGAAAAAGAGGCGGTAGCCATTTATTGAAAAGGTGCCTCGCTACAGACGCCCCACCAACCCCCGCCCTTGCTACCTCCTCCTCCTCTTTTAAACTACTTGGTTTTGGGCTAATGGCAAACAAAGTTGCAAGCAACAACCAACAAAGCAGCAACTTTATTGACACAAGTCAGCGCGAGAGCGAGAGACAGAGAGAGGGAGCGAGACTCTGCTTGGCAGACAGACAGCAAGTCAGCGATCGGATCGAAATCGAATGCAACTCAAACTCAAACTCAAACTCGAACTCAACAGTCCGAGACTGTGGGAACCTGTGTGGCACGTCGCTGTTGCACACTTTGCTGCCTGCTGTCTACGATTTGTATTTGCGAATTTTTAAATTTTTGTGGTCTATACATAAATGGTAAGGGCATAATAACACTTGAGTTCTCAGCCCAGCTCAGCTCAGCTCTTGTCTTATTAGCCACGTTTATCTGGCAGGCTATTAGCAAATAAATGAACGGATGAAAGATTAAGCCTAAATCCACTCTCGTTATGGTAATGAACATCATGCAACCAATTGACATGCAGTTTCAAGCTGTGCAGCTGCGGGAGACGTTGCTAAGTATGTTGCGATAATGGTCAGGTTGTCAAGCTATGGCAACGATAACTGGGCATCCTAGGAGTACACAATGAAGCCTAAAATATACTCGAATGACTACATGCTACATATTCGCATGGCCTATTGATTGTTGGACACTAAGAGGTATTGAAAAGTTGGCAATACTGGCAAGTTTAGGGCTTTAGACTATCAAGAACATACTCGAATGTCCTTCCGTTAACGACAACCAAACGATAGGTATACCTCGTATAAAGGTATAAAGAACTAGGCATTCTCTAAGGTGCTCCATTTGACTTGTCTATACATATATATATATATAACGCTGTCGTAAGTATCCATTCTATAGAAATTTATATAATTAATATATTTATATATTTATATATCTGTTTATCCTATTCCCATAAGCTAATTTAACTTGAAAAGTTTTGATAACATTGTCTCAACCAACACTTGACTCGCTTTACTCACCTGTGCTGCATTTCCATTTGTGTTATCAGCAACAGATGCCTCAGCCGCGTTCTCTAGATTCCGCTTCAGTTGCTGTTGCTGTTGCTGTTGCTGCTGTTTAGAGTCGAAGCGCGACTGCTGTTGTGGTTGCTTGTGATTATTGTTGTTGGCATTCAGTTGCTGCTGCTGCTGCTGCTTCTGACTGGTGTTGTTGTTCTCACTGTCGCATTGCATTTGTTTGTAGCAATTGTTGCTAATGATGTGTCTCATGTTGCTGTTGCTGCCATCGCTGGCGCTGCCATTGATTTCAAACTGAATGTCCATGTCGACAATGTTGCGCTGCATTTGGGTAACCCGTGAGGTGGTCGAGGTCTCCGTGTGGACACCGTTCGAATTGGACGAGGAGCAGGCGCTGCTGCTGTCGTAGTTGCTGCTGCTGCCGCCAACAGCAACAACAGTTGCGTTGCCAACAGTTGCTATTATTGTTGTTGGCGTTGCTGTTGATGTTGAGGTTGCGGTTGCCGACGTGGTCAACAGCGTCTCCTTGTTCTCCTTATCAGAGTCGTCGCTGACTCCGGCAACGGCGCCAGACGTTGTCGATGAGATGGCAGCCGACTGCAGACCATCGACAGTAGATGTTGCTGCCGCAGCAGTAACAGTAACCGTTGCTGCTGCGCCTGTTGCTGCCGTGTAGAGCCAACCCTCGTCGTCGTCATCCGATGAGGCATCAGCCGATTTCAGTATCTAAAGGAAGGTTAAAGCAAAAAACTTAGTATGGAATATACAAATGAACCAAAAGCAAAAGCAAAAGCAAAAACTGTGTGGGCCAACGTCGCAGTTGCAGGCTTCAACTGTGGCTGTTGCTGTAGCTGTGGCAATGCTTGGCACAGCAAGATGAAGATGAAGTAGTAGAAAATGAAGTTTAATTAGCGTTACTTGCGCAAAATGGCAAATTGTAACTTGTAGTCACAGCAACAGCAACAGCAACGGCAACGGCAACGGCAACAGCAACAATTGCAGCTACAAATTGTTGTTGCTGCTGCTGAGTGGCAAAAATCTTTTGAGCTCGTCTCAAATGCCGGTTGCCTCTGCCATCGCGGCCATGGCCTGCTGCAACCTCTGCTCAGAGTAGGAGTTGCCGCCGTGCCGCCCTCTAACAAATGGCTGTCAGTTGTTGTTGTTGCTGCTGCTGCTGTTGCTGTTGCAGTTGTCGTTTTCTCTGTTTGCAATTTATATTAATGCTGTGACGTTTCGTTTGGCTTGTCTTGGTGACCTTAGGCTTTGCATGCAGCCAATGCACTCATCACCTGGCTAGCTGCTCGGAGGAGCAAAGAGCAAACAGCAACAGCAGCTGTTGCAGGAGCTGCAGCAGCAACAGGTGAACACAGGTCCCAGCGTCAACTCCCACTTGTCACTCAAATAACTGAATTTCATTTGTTTAAAATTAATTTCTGCATTCCTTAAACAAATTCTCGCCGTGACGTTTTTAATTATGGAAACAGGAAAGATAAGCCCCTCTTTGACCGCTATCTTATATGGTATATAGTAATCCGATTTAAGGATTCCTCTTGTATATATGTATATATATAAATGAGAGCTTCATTGATTTAAAAATATATTGCCATGAACTAACTTATTTTCATATGTCTTGAGCCTTGCGAGACTGTTTAGATTAGTAGAAGACAAACAGATGAAACTCACTGTTGATGCGGGTCCAGCTTATCAAACTTTCTTCCTTCCCTGCTTCCTTGCTTTATTTCTTCATTTTTTCTTTCTTGTCCACCTTTCTTCCTTCCATCCTCGTTGCCTTAATCTGTTCAATTCTTCTTTCCTTTCAATCTTTCTTTCTTCCTTCCTTCCATCCAACCTTGATTCCTTAATTCCATCCTTTCTTTCTTCCTTTCTTCATTCCTTCCTTCCTTCCTTCCTTCCATCCTTCCTTTCTTCCTACTTTCTTTCTTTCTTTACTTCCTTCATTTCGTTCTTTATATCTTTATATCTACCTTTCTTATTCCCTTCCTTCCTTACTTCTTTCCTTTCTTCTTCCTTTCCGTTTTATTGTGACCTCTTCATTTATACCCAGCAGTGTGAAGTTCTAACTACTTTCTACTACTTCAATTGCCCAAAGGTTTAGGTCACTTAGATAATTAATCGTTTGCTTAGATATTTCTAATAGAAACTCACTTTGATTAGATAATCTTTGAACTAAGTAAGCTTTGGTTATGCACTCAAAGCTCAAGTTCATGGAAAAATCGACAAATAGAAAATCCATTTGCCATACACGGAACCATGTTCAAGAGGCTAAAGAACTGCCAGAACTCTGACATGAGTCGAGTCACTATAGCCCCAGGCGCGGGTCGGAACTCGTTTAATGATTAATGATTAATGATGTAGCATTATGTATGGACTACCAGATAATGAGCAGCAAAAGTTAATTAAGAAATTGTTAGGCATGCCAAAGATTAGAGAAAATATATAAATTAATTATATATTTATATATATACGTTTCTGGTTAGTTTTTGGATATACAGAAAGAAACAAAAAAAAACAATTTAACACATGCAAAATCACATGCAAATTGAAGTGCATTCGGCATGGGTGTTTTTTGCGTCGATTGCCGATAAGTCGATAACCGCAACGAATTCGCTTTGGCTGATGATTGGGCTAGAGTCGATACCAACACCATGAAAGACCGTTCACCTTGACTGCTAACGGTACTTACTTCGCTGGCACGTTCCACCTCATGATCCTCTCCAGCTGGATCGGTGCCGGCGCCGCTCGTCTCATTGTCCGTATCCAAGTGCTTGAAGTAGAAAATGGCGCAATTCTTGGACTTGCGATTGGATCGATTGAACTTGGAGGTGTCATTATGACTGCGATGCATTTGCGACTTTCTCAGCACAGTTGGCGACTTGTTCAGATCGTGCGCATGACCATGACCATGACCATGGGCATTATGATGCCCATTAGTATGATGAGTATTGGGCGTAATCACAGCGACGGCAATGCTCTTCGACTTGCCGTTGTGGCTGCTGTGGCATTGGGGCGGCAGCATCTTGTTGCCGTGTCGCGTCTGCAACAGCGACAAATTCGTTAAGTTGGGCGTTGAGCTGCTTCCGTTGCCGCTGTTGTTGCCGTTGATGCTGTTGCTGCTGTTGATGGCGTGCGACATATTCACATGACCCACAGCGAGCTGTGCCAAACGCTGATTGATGGAGTTACCTCCAAAGCTGCTGCTACAGCAGGCGCCAACGCCTCCTCCGCCTCGCCTCAACTGCTGCACCTGCTCCAGATCGCTGCTCTCGGAGTCAGCCTCAAAGTCGGTGAGCGTCGCTGCTGCAGCTGCCGAGTTGCTGTTGTGGCTGAGGTGGTTGTGGTGGTTACTTTTGCCCGGACGCCAGGCGCGCTTGGCAATCACAAAGTCAACAACGTCGGCGTCGTCGTCGTCTTCTTCGTCCGCCTCGTCACCAGGCTGCGTTTGGTTTGGGATTTTTGTTTTTGTTTGTGTTTGTGTGGAACAAAGATTGGTTAGGCAAATTGGCATTGGCAGGCAGTTAGAGGCTCACGCAGACTCATACGCACACACATACACACATATAAGCGATAACAGTATTTGCATGCTGCTGCAGTGCTGCCAACTCGCGCGAAAATTTGTGCCTAAATATCAGATTCGTGGATACTTTTGAGAGTGGAAGCTTGGATTTGGGATCAGGCTGGGAAAACTGATAGCTCTGCGGAAAATGGATAAACCGTGCTGCCAACTTGTGTTGAATCTGTCTGTTTCTGTTTTAGAAATTAACGGGAAACCTTACTAAGACTGCTTGCCTCTAGAAGAGTCGAAAATACTCTAAATGTTAGCTTCTTAAGCCAAAGGCAAACTCTGACGATTCACCTCTTTAAATTTGCATATTGAATTTATCGACTTGAACTTTCTTTTGCAGTAAAACTGTAGAAGAGGAAGAGCTGCCAACTCGGCCAACTCTTCCATTTTAGAAGTGGGGTTTCAGCTTGTGAAGCAGAGGCAAAGATATTCATTTAGGGCTGCCAACTTGGCTTAAATCGTATGATTCATATCAAATATGGAATTTCTTTTGACTGTGCCATACCCAAAAGTGTTTTTCCATAATGATGTCTCATCATTTTCAACTTTTTGGTGGCATAACTGTAAAGATCAGGCAAGCAAGCATCAAGCGCCAGGTCAACGCGTTTATCGTAAAGTTCGCTTCATTTGCAAGCTCAAGTTCTTGGCTGTTTGTTTAGGAATAATGTTTGCAGTTAGGAATAATCGGTTGAGGGTTAGGTTTTTATTTTTAGGCTCGAAATAAGTTGACAATACTGTAGAAGGCATGCACAACTATTCTAACTAGCAATAACAACATACACAACAACTACAAACTAACAAACATACAAGAAGAGAAGAACGCTCAAATTTGGCGTATATGCAAATGTATTTGTATTTGGCTTTGTTTACCTTTTGGGTTGCGATACAATCGCGTGACTGATCCTCGGCCTGAACGCTGGCAACGACAATCTCGGTGGCAGATAGTTGACAGCGCTGCAGCAACTCCGTCGAGTTGTGGCTGGGCGCGCTCTCGCACTCCAAATCCAAATCGGAAACAACCTCGTTCAGGTCGTCCTCGGTGGCTGCGTCGCCTTCGCCGTCTTCGCCTTCGTAGCCAAATGAATCGTCTTCGGTGTCGTCGTCGTCCTCATCCAAGCCGTTCTGTATTTGGTAGAAATGAGAAGCGAATGGAGAGGTTGAGTAATCAGTGTTGAGTAGCAGAAGAGAGAGAATAGAGAAGAGAGTTGAATATCTACAAAATGAAGTTTACAGGGTATAGCTGAGTGCAACAACTCGTCTGCATTGTCTGCAATATGAATTTCAGTTTTTAATTGGCCAACTTGATTTGGATCTGAGGAAAGCATAAATATTGCTCAAGCAGCCGCTGGTCAGTCGCATTTTCACAATTTTCACAATTTTCACACATTTCCAACACAATTTCCCATCACGTAACGCGATGACTGTTGCGAGTTTCCTTCTTCGCATATGTTATAATTGCTTTCAATTGCTGCGCCGGGGCCAAGTGCCAGACAAACAGACATAAAATATATATGAAAAAGAAAAGAAAACACGACAAGCAGTTGCCCAGACAGATGATAGATAATCCAAAAAGAAAATGAAAAGAAATAAGCAGCAGGCGGAGGAGGAAAAGCACACGTCATGTGGGTGGCTGTGGGAGGGGGTGGCGGGTACTCATCTAATGCGAGGGCGGGCCTTGAAGCCTCTTGAAACACACACGAAAAACACAAGTGCTCAACATTTGGGAAAGCAACTAGTTGGCAGCTTAACCTCAGTTGACCTTGCCAACCCGCCGCAGTCCCAACGCCCAGTTACAATTCATTCACAATCGCATCCGCTTTGCAGCTCATAAAAATTAGAAAATTTCATTATTAGCTCATCGCAAACTGTAAAATTTTAATGCTTAACATGTTCTTTTTCTCATTTCTGTAAATTTGCGTAATCTTTAGGGTAATTTGTGTTCAGGGCAGCGGAATTCCATGTTAACGACGCCTGCTGAAGGTCAGCTTCTATTAAGAGTATGCGCCATGGGCAAGTCTTGCGCCGCCCATAAACATGGCAGAGCTGGTAGAGTTTAGTTGCTCAAGAGTTGAATACCCTAGGAAATGATTGATGTTACTTAGACGATCTTCCATAGAAGGTACCTAGCATTATAAACTAATATGGTTCATAATCTGGGAGGTAGCTTAGTAAGCTCAAGATATATACAATCTTACCATGAATGCATTATCTAGTATTCATATAAAAGCAATATATATATCTATTATATCAGAGATCGATATTTGTGGATCGTATGGATCGTATGGCTTGAAACGAATACAGATACAGTTCTTGGTACTTTCAGCTTCTTCTACCTATCTCCTTCTCCCCAGGCCCTTCTCTGCCCTACTCAAGCAATTCCAGGGTATCCAGTCATGATTTATAGCGTATTGGCAGCTTTTCAAACACTACTGAGAGGCGCCTTCTGATGAGTTTGTTTACGTTCGCGAAGACAACAAAGATCGTTTTCCTTTGAAAACACAGCAGCAGCTGTAATTAGGCCAGACAGACAAATTGAAGGCGAAATTCCAATGGGCACTACAAGTCCATTAAATGATAAACAAATAGAAGTCGAATCAACTCAGCTGAGTAGGATTAGCACTCGCATTTAGATCGCTTAGCTGAATATTTTTAGTTAACTTAATCCAATAAAATCGAATGACAAGCCAAAGAAAGCCATTAAACCTTTTTTCCTTATGCCAGTTTAAATTCTCTTTTGCCTTTTCGCCCACAGCTCAGAGCTGTTGGCTCCGTCGGGCTCACAATTTATGAACTTATTATGCAAAATGCATTTACACACACACACACACATACACTAAGATCCCATCAAAAAGGTGGCAACGCCTGTTCGCTGCTTTGTCTGGCGGTTGTTTCCTTTGTTGCCTGCCTTTGACTGCCTTCGTTTCTTTAGCTGGAAATTAAGTTCAAGTTTATCGCAACGCACTTCACGCGAAACGAATGCAGCAGGCGGGCAATGGGGGGCGTGGCTGTGCAGTTGGACACGTGACGTGCTATGTTGTTGTATGTTGCTGTTGCTGCTCTTGTATGTTGCCAGCTTAGCACCTCATTTGCCCGCAGCTGCGCTTAGCTTCGGCCTGTGCTAAAACTATCATTAGGACCCAAGATAAGCATCAGCCACGTACAGTGAAACCACACTAACAGCAACAGCAACAGCAACACGCAATCTTTCGTTCTGTCACAATTCTCATGTCATTTTCTCTCTCTCTTTTCCAAAGAACTTTATTTTTTTTTACCAACATGAAAAACAACTCGAATTGCGATTGCTCGATAAGTTTTTTGTGTTTCTCTTTACTCAAAATGTGTGTGGGAAATTTTTACAAGTGCTTTTTGCTTGGCTACTGTTTTTTCTTCTCTCTCTTCTTCTATCTATTTGCTATTTGAAATTATGAATTTCTCACACGCCAACATTTAATTATCACTAAATGCTTTCATGTCATCGATGTGGAGCTTAACTCTATTAACATATAATGTTCGCAGGGGGCGTATAATTGTCGTGCAATCAAGAAACGAGAAGAAAACGAAAACGTGAGCTGCAACTGGAAAATTGTTTGTATAATGTATGCCCATATACGAAGTAAACAAACATTGGAAATTATAGCTGACAGCTCAGTTAAAAGGTGCTTGATCATTTGTACACTTAGGAAAATTAGGTACATGGAAGGAGGGTACAGTAGCTACTGTGTAACGAACTTGCATTTCAATCATGCCAAACTTCTTATGTATGAAATACTATAGAGACCTTATAGCTTTTCTATGATCTATGTAATACTCTGTAGATCGAGCATACATCATAAAGTTTATAGTATTTCTTATGTATCAAGCTTTTCTTAGCAAAGGGCTTTATTTTATGTTTTCGAGCAGCTTCTTTAGAGTTCAGAGTTCATATATTGCGTCTTCTTCTTTTAACAAGCTTTTCATATATACAAAGTTTCATCAAGTTTCCGCAATAAACAGCTGAGTTCACATAGTTAGTATAGTGTTAAGGAGCGTTAAAAATTATCGCATATCAAGCTCGAACCTTCTCTTAGTTACATACTCTTATAAAAATCAACTTTTTTCGCGCTGTGTAATGTTTATGAATAATTATATCATAAACAAATCAATTCAAGGCCTTTAAAAGCTTCGATTGTCTGGCCGAGCTGATAAGTGCTTATATACGAGTATAATAGATCTACAGGCAAGTGTGACTAAGCTAAACTCAACCAAAATCAAAATATATCTATAAGCTATTAATCTATTTAAGTCTTTTCAATAATAAGCACTTTTGCAGGCATTTAAGTTTATGTAAAGCATGCTATAGCAACAAAAGCAACAGAAATGCAAATATTTATATATTGAAGGCATGGACAACAGCAACAAGCGCCATGACAACAGCAACAGCTAAAGCGTTGACAACCCGCAGCAACATGAAAACTTCCAAGTCATATGAAAGCGACAACAACTTGCAACATGCCCAGTTTTTGCCACACAACCTCTGTGCAAAAGTATGCGATGACAACAGCAGCACCCGCCGCAGCAACAATATTATTACCAGCATTGCTGCTGCTGCTGTTGTTGCTGCTGCAGAAAACATTTCCTGGTGCAGCAGCAGCAACTGCAACAGTTGCTAGAATGGCGACAATATTTGAGCACAGATTTAGGTTCGCAGTGTGGTTAGATTGACCCTAATATGCTGACAGCGGCTGCACAGCTGGCAACATGTTGCTGCAACACGTGCGTGAGTGGGTGTGTTTTGCATGTGTTGCTGGCCCACGCATTGCTTATAAATTGCAGGTTGTTGCTGTTGTTGTTAAATTTAAGGTGTTGCTATGATGAATAGTTGTAGGCCAGCACAGGCTGACAATTGCAGTCAATAAAAGAGATAACGAGACAATGAAAGACAGACCGAGAGAGAGAGAGGGAGTGAGGCTGGGAGAGTGAGCTAGAGATATAGGCAGTTAGACAGCTGAACAATGCAAACAAAGGCCGCTTTTTGACATTTGCCAAATGTCAATATGCCATAAATGCAGCACGGCAAATATCATTGCAGGAAATTGCCACAAAAAAGCTACAAATAAATGCTAACTGCGGGTGGATGACAATTAAATACCCTAACAGGCAGTTGAGCAGTGAAATCTGATATTAGCTGCTGAGTTATAGAAGATATACTGCAGAACTTTGACACCAGATAATACTAAATACTGAAACTGAAGATTAGCGATTGGACAGGAAGAGAGATGCATACATACTACAGACAAGATACTAGATACGAGACACGAGATAGCTAACAAGAATAAACAAAAACCATATACTAGAGAGTTACTAAATGGAATGCTAGGAACTAGACACTAGACACTTAATACTGAATACCAGAAAAATACCTGACACTAAAATATATAATACTAGATGATAGCCATGGTAGCTGGTAATATCAAGGTACTATAATTTGAGTTTTATATATTAGATAGTAAGGATTAGATCCCACAAATCAGCTAGACAGACCATACGATAGCTGGTAGAAGTAGAGTCCTTAATACTGCCTGCTAGATATTTATCAATCAGAGTTAAAATGATTTAATAAATAATCAAATATATATTTAATAAACGCTTCTTTCTCTCATACGCTTCACAAGAACTCTATAATGCCCTGCAGCAGCTAGAGTATAGCTCAGCTTGTTGCAATCGAAGATGTCTTTGTCTCTGCCATTGTTTTTCTGCCCTGTTGTATTAGCCGCTGATTTATGTGTCTGTCTCTGTGTGTGTGTGGGTAAGTCTGACGCGTTGACAACATCAAACACAGCAGCAACATGTTGCTGGTTGCTGTTGCTGCCGCTGCCGCTGCTCCCATTGCTATGTGGCGGCATTTAGTTGTTTACATTTGGCTTCATCTCTCCGCAGCTTCTCAGCTCCACAGCTCCTCAGCTGCTTTCTGCATTGTAATTTCCCCATTGATTACATTGCGGCCACATCTCGTTTGACTTGCGCTCGTCTTTTTCCGTTCCATTCGAGGCGACTCGATTCGATTATAGGAATTGGAAGTCGTCTGTTTACCAGCTGCTGCCACAATGAAGCAATTTGGCCATGTTGCTGCTGTGGCTGTGGCT